TTATACGCACCAGAGCACTATTGCTTATTTCGGATCAGCATCATATTGTCACAAGACTCACGCCATGGCCAATTATTAAGGGCATAAAACGGCTTGTTGAATTTTAGATAAACTATCAGTAGCCCAATTAGTAACACATTTTTAAACTGCCAATTATGGTTATTGTTTACCATTTGAGATTCCAGCCTACATATACGAATGTCGTCAATCATGTTTTGTCGACGTACGATTGAATCATGCCATTGGCATACACGACCAGTATAACGCATGGAAGTTGGTCGCAAGATAGTAAAGTTCAGTGTGGCGATCGGGTCGTGAATAAAGCGCCGTTAGGTCAGGTACTGAATAGTATAGCACCGTAGGTCAAAGACAGGTAAGTTGTGGCAGATAAGGCAGTGGCTCGAGGATACGTTGGTTGATGGAGATAGGGCAGTAGGTCGAGATGAGAAAGGTTGAGGGAGATAGAGCGGTGGTTCGAGGATAGGGAGATAGCGTAGTGGGTCGAGGATAGAAAGGTTGAGGGAGATAGGGCGGTGGGCCGAGTATAGGAAAGTTGAGGGAGGTCGCGCAGTGGGTCGAGGATAGGTAAGTAGATGGAGGGCAGTGGGTCGAGAACAGTTTTCAAGTAAACGAATAGCTCGCGGAGGCCCTAGGTGTCTTTAACGGAGTCCTGAGGCTCCGTACGGAGCACTGTCTACGTAGTAGGATATAACAATGCGAACAACAAAGTAACGAATGTTTCCCCGACTTTTGATCTCTTGAATTCTTCCTCTTTACACTCTACCATTGCAAAATTATTGGTACTTATTTCCAGAATGGTTTTGCGAGTTTAGGACTTATATTTACCAAAACACAACTAAAATCTAACAAATAACACGTGAAAACCGACAAAACGAGGTAATATTCACAACCATGAAAATCTGTCTGAATGACTAAATCAGTGGTCGGCAACCACCGGCCCCGCGGCCCATCGCCGGTCCGCGAAAAGGTTACTACCGGTCCGCAGAAACGTGACGCAAAAGACGGACAATGTCCTAATAACATCTTTGGTTGATTGAAATTTCAAACAATAATAAGTTGAAAAGAGTCTTTGCGATTTATAGGATAGCTACTTTAGCAATCTTTTGGGCAATACTGCTATCTGAATAGGCATTTTTAAATCTAAACTCGGGGGAAAATCCATAATTATAATTAGAGTTTTATATAGTTGTTATAACTAAATTCGGTACACAGACGCGATGCTTATATTTATGGTAAATTTAAATTGTTTTGCGACCCAGCGTGGAGAGCTCCTTGGGTCGCGACCCCGTATTTGCGGACCCCTGGTGTGTCCAATGTTTTGCTAGCCAGATTTTCCCTATTTAAAATGCAATGCGTAAAATTGATATGAGGTGCAATTTGTAATAATCTTGCTAAAAAACCTTTGTTTTCCCGCCATGGCCCCAGCCCTATCAGTACAAATGCTAATACACCGCTCCCATGATAATCCATCATTCTGTAGTCTCGTCGCCACTGCTGAGAATATGTCTTGACCAGTGCATGTTCCAGAAAGCGCCAAGCACATGAGTAACTTATATACCTAACGAACACAATCAACTGCGCTAAACCAGACGTATCCGTGGATTCATCCAATTGCAAAGCGTATTTTCCTCCTTTGACTCTATCAACCAGTTGGCACCTAATATTTTGACCCATTTCGCTGATACGTCGGCGAATGGAATCTACAGACATTGGTATTTCTTTCATTTCCTTAGTTACCTTGTCTCCATTCATACTTTGACTAATTACAATAGTTTTGATTAGCGTTTCTCCAATGGTGTGTGGTTTCTTATCTTTTGCGATTAAATATGCCACTTCATACAATGCCTTTTGAGATTTTTCTAAGATTGTGAGATAGTTTTTCATTGTTTTCTTTTCGCCTAACAATTCTTTTTCTGATCGGCGGAAAAATGTATTGGTTTGTCAATGAATTCTGGATGCTTTGCTGTAAGATGGCGTTTCAATCCCACTGCGTTCAGGCCCTCGTTGGCAAGAACAAACAACACATTGAGGACGTGACATCATTCATAAGAATACACGTGAAACCAAGCTTTATAAATTCTTTGATGTACTTCCGCTTATAAGGATGGTTTGAGTGATGTATTTCTATCCGATGAGGGTGAGGAGATGAGTCTTTTGTCGGGCGTTGATCCCCACTGCTTGAAGACGCAAAGATGTCTGAAGGTGCATGCGGTGTTCTGTTCTCACTTAATTTCCACGTTGTATCTTCCGCTCGGGACTTTTTTGGAGTATTCTTCAGTAACCAGTTTGTCAACATTATTTGTGACTACCTTTAAAATTCTTAACCCCGCTAAATTTTGAATTTAACCAAGAATATCTTACAATAACAAATGTAACAGAACCCTAACTATTTAATTTAGAATGGACAAATCTCATCATCTGTCTTTATCAAGCAATTCTACACGACTACTGCTAACCTCGCATTGCTACGAAACAATACAATGGTCTACCTACGTAGTAGGATAATACCAGTTAACAATGCAAACATCTACGTAATGAATGTTTCCCCGATTTTCGATCCCGGCAAAATTCTTCCGCTTCATTTCTACCATTGCAAAATTATTGGTTCTTATTTCAATAATGGTTTTGCGAGTTCGCGCCTATAAACCGGTTTATATGTTTCAAACTATCATTTTATTTCAATACATTCGACAACCTTTCATTTACATGTGCCTATAGAAAAGTTTGGCCTAGTCTATCACAGCTATTTCTAGATTAATTTTTGATTACTGCATACAAAATAAAACTCCGCAGAGCAAAATGATTATTGAGTTATTTGATTAGGACTTACTTACCAAAACACAACTAAAAACTAACAAACAACACGCGAAAACCACCAAAACGAGATAATATTCACAACCACGAAAGACTGTCTGAATGGCAAAAGTATCTGAGCGCTTCTGAAACGTTTATTGTTACTTCAATTTTGCACTTATGCTGATGGCCAATGTTACGGCAGTAAATAAGAAAGTGTATACTCGGGGAAACATTCATAATTATAATCAGAGATTAAAAATAGTGTAAAACGATAATTTCACGATTCCGAGTGAATATACATCATCATACCGTGTTTTCCCGAAAATAGGACATTGTCTTCAATTTTCTCTCGAATACTGGAACTCATTTTTGGGGATGTAGAGAATAACGAGATTTTTTTAATATAGAAAATATGGATACCGAAATATATAAATAATATGATTAAATATGATACCAATTTAATAGCACGTTTTCATTTAAAATAGCTGCTACATATAGATTATTAACCATTTAACGGTTACGATTTATTTTAACCGTTAACTGACATCCCAGGTACAAATCTTCTTTATACCGTATAATTTCGTCAAATATGATTACGTCATCGCAAATTTATCTCTTGCGGCGTTTAATTTAAAAAAATATTACTAACTGTGTTGGTAAGGACTCAATAAATGTGAAAAATATTGAAAGTACCAAGGTTGCTGATAATGAAAATTTACGATGATAAATTCAGGATCAGTTTTCGGTCGATTTCGAAATATATTGTTCACGATTTCATTGCAAAATCGGATATTCAATGTCATACAACAAGTGTGCAGTTGATGCCGTTTTTCTTTATGATATATATCTCGAAGAATAATTTGCACATCGAACTCTAAAAATTTGTCACATTAATGACGTTTAACAACGGAATCGGGTTTTCTAAAATATTTCCACATGCCCGAACTACGCTGCCTATCTTTTGCAGCAGAGGAATCATGAAACTATTTCGATTCGTGAATAATTTTTAGCGATACCGGGATAAGAACACGCGAATTTGCTTTATAACCATTGCGACGTAACAAGCTGAAATTATAATTATTACGTCAAACGTCACGCGGCGGTTAACCGGTTAATTTTACTCGGTTAACGGTTAAAGTGTTTTCCCTGAAATCCCAGCCCTATTTGTGAGGTTTCCCTATTACAACCAAACATTCCAATCACTGGCATATAGGCGCAAGAGTTCAATAACACTATGAATTCCCACTACCAATTGCTGTAGCCATCAAGAAAGTTTTAGGTCTGGATATATTAACAAAATTTCTAGATGTGTGTTCCAAGCGCCATAACTTTATCGGCTTGCCGACCTTGATTCAATATGAAAGACATGCGCAATATATTTTATTTATAACGTAAATATGTCGGCTTACCATACGTCCCGTTTTAGGCGGGACAGTCCCACTTTTTACCGTCTTCTCCCGACGTCCCGACCGGTCAGCCAAAAGTCCCGATTTGGCGTTCAGCCAGTCAGCATAATACAAGGACAATACCAATTGTCATGTTCTCGATACTGTTGTTGCGGTGTAGCGTACCTGTAGCTTACCTACTGAAGGTGGATGCGTGGTTTTGTTTGTTTTGTTGCTACAATTTGTTACGTGTAAGCCCCGTACTGAACCCGATATTTAGACAAACAGCGTAAACTCACGATGACAATATGGTCAAGGAAGACAGACGGAATGGTGTTAAATGTAGGCCCCTAATGTAAAATCGATAAATTCAAAGTAGAAAAAATCACAGCTGTGGTCTTTAGAGGCGTCTCGCTTTGGGATCACAAAATTAGGGTAACCCTATAAATATGCTATATACGAAGTTAAAAATAGGGTGATGGTGATATACTGAGAATTTAGCAAAGGCTTCTAATGGGAAAAAAATCTCACTTTGTGTACATTATTTCATGTAATAAAAATGTCGTCCCACAAGAGAAGGATTGCTGATGTACCGTAAAATCCTATTTGATTTTAGGAAGGTATTTTCTAGAAAGCCCGGACAATCTTGAAACGCTTCTGTTACCAATTCACAATGCAAATTTGTATTGTATTAGCAAATGGATTTATGTAAATAGTATTTCAGACCAAATCTGATTTTGAGAGGCCGAACGCCTACGTCCGGAAATCATGTACCACCATTGATTAACAAAAATCACGTGTTATTATAAACTTTAATTTGGAATAGAATATTCGTTAATAATATAAATATACAAGCAACTGAATCGTCATAAATTGCTTTGATACTATTTTCTGAAAATTATAGAAGCTATAATTTAAATCTAACTATAGGTGTTGTAGCTATAAAGTTTCTGTTATATTCTTTCAATCATTCAATCACGTAATCGGGCATCACTTCGTTCCAGAATTCTGCTTCTTTTTCTGCCAAATTTTCTCCGATTGAATATGGGATATTAACAATGAGATATTTTCCTTTGGTTTTGTATTGGGGCCAATTGATATCCACTTTCTGCCCCTTATTGGGATTTCTGGAAAAAAGTTAAAAGCGGGTAATGAAATGTTTGCTATATGTGAAATATACCATAGAATTTTTACGATCATATATCAAGTGCTTAGGTCTCATGCGAGACAAAATTAGTGAGTCCAGATTTCTTTTTTTAGCATATCTTCTATATCCTTTTTTCTAGCGTATTTTCTATCAATGACATACATGCTTTTAGATGCGAATCTGGTATTTCGAGGAGTAATCCCCACATAAAACCTTAAGGACTGAAATGACTAGCACCAATTAAATAGCCTTTCATGGATACTCAAAATCCCAAGATAGCTTACCATACTAGCAGCTGGCCGTCCATTAGCTTGTTGAGCAGTAGCTCATTTATAATCAGTTTGTTAAGTTCTAGTAAAGGTTACCCAGAGTGAAAGTAACTATCTTACCCTGTTTTTGCAAAATTTGTCAAATACTTCATGAAATCGATACTCATTTGCTTTTCCTCTTCGGTATATTTCGTACCCAAAGGAAGTTCGTTCGGTGAAAATGGAACTCCAAACGTCAGGATAACATCCTCGCCATGGTCGCAAATGCACCAACTCGGCTTTAATCCAACTTCTGGTCCATATTCTCTGTCGTGGAATAGTTTAAGCTGAAAGTTTCCATGATAAACGTATGTTGGTGCGCCAGTATCTGAAAGTTTTTATTAAATATTACTCTATAATAGCATAAACAGTGGTGAGATTCTAATTAAGAACTGGGTTCTCCTTTGTATCGAACTCACTAACAACAGGTTCCCTAATTTCAGTACACCTTATAACGTCACTGCATAAGCTACATTAAGATGACGCGCTTCACATAAATTTAATACACCATATATAACGCCAGTCATAAGCTGCGATGCACGTTACCCAGCATTTGCTGCGGTAGTCTAACTAAGAACGGGCACGCTGATTATCATGACATTCCAAGAACAGGATCGTTGCCACCATAGCATTTAACTAGGTTCCAGAAACACACAACGATACCCGAATGAGATGAAGCAACCTTGACAGCGGGAGCAACAAACATTGAATCGCCCATTATGCTTCCCTGTAGTTTACTGAACCGCAGTTCGTCTTGATCGTCCACCGAGTAGAATTCTTTGCACTTTTCGAAACCTTCCTTTGTTACCTGCGTAAAATTAATGAACAATAGGGTATAAATTTAAATAATTCGAAAATGAGGTTAACAGCAAGTTAACTATATTACCGCAAACCAATTCCGAAATAAGGTGAATATATTACATTATCGGTACTCACAGGAGTGAATAATGATTTATAAACCTCTTCCACGTCTTTTATACCGGTCATAAAATTAGGGGATGAGCTTGATAATATTCCTTGTCCTTCTGTGCTGTTGCATCCAAGAATATACGGCACTTTAACAAATTCTTTGTCGTTTACATATTCTTCTGGAGTTTTACAAAACACCTTACCATCAAGAGTAGGGAGAAAAGAAATCCTTTGCTGAAATGTAATTATTCAATATTTAATTTGAGAGATAAATATCTTGAAGATAAACTTCTGGTTCATCGCTGATATAAAAAATATATTACCATTGACAATTGCATACACGAATTGACTAAGTCATCGGCTGGAATCTTTTGTAATGCTTCCAGAATTTTACAATCTTCTTTTTCTTCAATCTTTAAATGCTTAAAACATTTTTCATTCTTCTCAGAATTCTTCTCGACCGTTTGAAAAAATCCTGTGAAAAACATTTTTCTGACGAAATGAGTCTATTTTACAAATAATTTTATATGTATCTGCATGCTGTTCGATTCTGTCAAATACCAAATAGCCTACTTTATATATATATAAACAATTTATTACAAAACCAGGCCTACAAAAGACTGTCATACATAATTATAAAGACCCACAATACTAGTTACTAGATGTGGCATTCAATACCTATAAGCTGTGTGAAAAGTTTTTTGGGGGAAATAACAAGTTTATTCTCTTCATATTTTATGATGAGTTTAAAGGTCAAATATTTGGTTGATATTGAGGTTACTACATGTTGAGAATTTATCAATCTGAAACTTTGATTTTTGTTTGCCATCAACATTCCTCGTTCTATAGTGACAAATACCTTTTAAAGTTGCTTGTCCACTATGACTAATTGCTTTGTGGAACAGACCGCGTGATAATGGAGACAACATATGCATGTTGACAGACATTCCTCCAGCACTTTCACCAAAGATAGTCACGTTGTCTTTGTCACCGCCAAATGCATCGATGTTTTCTTGGACCCATCTGAACAAATTGTAACTTATATTAAATTGTTCAAAAAGACCGCCAAGATTGTTCAAAAACCGCCACACTAAATACACAATATAAAGCCAATAACCTTTTTGAGAAGTACTACCATGACTGAATATTAAAAACATAGGGAATATTTAAATGTCCCCCATAGTACCTGTGTACAGGAACTATGACTAGACAGTGCATTGACGCTCTCATATTCTTAGACATAGTTTATCTAAGGTAAATTACGTTTATGCTACGAACCTCAATGCCAACTGCTGATCTAAAAATCCAGCATTCCCCGGGCATATTGAAGAAGGTCCAAGGGAGAGAAATCCAAATATTCCAAGTCTATAGTTAGGCACAACTATGACAACATCGTTCATTCCAGCCAACATACTTCCATCATACAAGCGTTCAGAACCCATGCTGAATCCACCGCCAAACCACCACACCATCACCTGAAAATCAAATATAAATGTTTACGACTCTACAGTAGGGAAATAATTAACAATGTACAATTAATATATTCGAGATAGTCTGAAAAAGCTAAAATTCGTGTAATTTACCGGAAGGTTTTTTCCTTTTTCCAGATGCGGAGTATACACAGACAAATGTAAGCAATCTTCGTCAGCAACTGGTTTGCTCTTGCAAGCGTCAGGTATGGCAATGTATGGTTTCATCATTTCATCAATGACTAGTGGATACATTGGTGTGTTGCCTGCTACTGTTCCATCTTTAACCGCAGTCCATGGTTCAGCTCTGAAATACCAATAAGTGATTTTGAATCACAAAGAGGCAGCATAGGACTCTAGTAGATACAGCATTGTCTAACTCTACAAATTTCAATTTTCAAGTGGAATTTGCTAGGATTTGAATTTACATATTTTTTTCATTTGATTTACATATTTTTTTCATTTTCTATATAGAACCGGTGCGAACCAGCTGAATCCCACTTACTGATGGGTATATTCACTTGGCTGACACAAACAGTCCCCGAACTCGTAAGAGAACTGAAGTAAGGAAAATCGGAATAAAATTATGGCATGACCCTAACCTGGTACACATACGGGAGTACCCAATAATTTAATGAGCAGTAGTTAGAAAGTAATAGCACAAGTCGACAATTTGACGAACGAAAGGAACCGATGTCTCGATTGAATCTGACATTTCATTCAAACATTACTCGAGTTCCAAACTAAATTACGTTCACACTTCACGTTACAAAGGTAAGCTTCGCAATTTTGAAATCTAATCGTCTCAAATTCGGAATTATCGATTCGAAACAAGTTTTATCGGCTTCAACGAATGAATCTTTATATAAAGTATTGTGTTTAACAAATAGTTTTCTCCAAATGATTGCAAGAATATAGTGTGTTCCTGTTTTGATATAAGCTACGGAGGGCTTCATCAGATAATAAACCTGCTTTATGGTAATCTGTTTGATATTTTTTTTTTTTCGGCTGACACGCCGTAGTCGAAATATCAAGATTTCTTATCTTAAGTTAAATATTCTGTTGCTATTCTTCTTCAGATAGTATGAAGAGCCGATCCATACCCACATCATCTTACTATCATAAGTTAGACAACATTTCTAAAATTTTATCTAGTCTACAAACCGCTATCAACAGTTTAAATATTTTAACAGTAATCAATCACAATGCCGAGTGTAGGGGATGCGCTGTAAATGAATGGCATGGCATGTAATATTAACATGATGGCTCATTCAGTCTTTTTAGTGTGGATAGCCTGTCGTTTTTGGCTTTGTGTCGACCATGATTTGATAGACTTGGTAAGGCTCATAGTAAAATTATTTTCGACTTGTTAAAATCATTAACAGTTACCAGAAATTTTGCTATCTTTCAAGTCTTGAAAAGTTTCAAATGCAATATTTCTTGCATATATATTATTATTATATACCTGCTATTATAAATGTAATAACACTACTTACGACTGGGGTGGCATAAATCTCAGGCTTCCTACAGGTGGTTTGCCGAAAGGAATATTTCGAAATGCATGCACCGGCTTTGCATCCTTCACTTTCAAATTCACAATTCTACCTTTTATTTTTCCATTAGAGGTTGAAACGATGGTAGAACTCATGTCGATTTCAGATATCGGATATAAAGTGTCTATTCTATGCTGATCTTTGAATAGTAGACTGTTCAATTACTGAACCGGTTATTTGTAATTCTATCGCGATTAAAAAGCAAACGAAGTGAAGTGTAGGAATGTAAATAGTCGTCATATATTTTAATAAAATCATAAAATAACCAAGGATTTAAGCAATTAATTTTTGCAGTTTTTTTCTGTTATATGACTCATACTAGGGTTTGTATGAATATACTAAAATTTAGAGGTAAACGTAGCGGTAAATGAGGTAGGAGGTAAATGTTTGTAACACCAAAATTAAACAAATTGCTGATTTTTTTCATAGTTTGCGTTATTTGAGATCTGTATTCACAATGTGACCGAAAACTTAGATAAACAAAGGCATATGATATCATAATGTAAATTTTGATTTAAAAGCAAATACTTTACGCTGAATAGCAATTCTAGAATAGCTGTGAGCAACAAAGCAAATTTTGAATTTCGTAATCGTAATTCAAGGTAATTCTTTCGTAACCGAATGTAATTTTCACCTAACCAAAGATAAACAAGATCAAAATAAATTCATGTATTTTTTATTTTGTTTATTTTTATTTTGTTTATTTTTTAGTATAGATACCAATATTAATCTGGTAATTTGAGACTGCATGACTGTCTTTTATTCTATAAACATTGTCTCTGCTATCATATAATTAACATCTAATTGGTTACCACGAATGAGTCTGTGCTCTTTCCAACAAGCACTCGGAACAAATCGCGCAAAATTTAATTAATCTTAAACCCAGTGCAATGGCGAACAAAGTATGAAGATATGCCACTTTATTGATAACAAATTTTGGTTATAGATCTTATAACATTGTCGTTCGCTTCGCACAAGCTAGCTGTTAGGGCATTGTAACGTCGTCGGATTAGAAATACTCGCACGTACCAGATTGAACTGAATTAAAAACTCATTTTGTGGTCTACACACCATTCAAAATCGGCACTCCTCCGCGGGCCGCACAATTTTTCCTTGTGGACCGCAGGTTGCACACCTCTGATGTTAGTTATTAGCGCCAGAATATCTAGTCCACGACGTATACTATAAACAAGTTCGTCAGAACTCGGAAGTCAAAATATTGGACCTCCTTCAATGTTAAAAATGTCAAACAGCTTTCGAAACGGATTGAGCTCAGAACCAGAAGCAAAGACCCCTCGAATGTAAATTAAAATTTGGTTTAAAAACTCACTTCGTCCGACGATCCGGTATCTCATACATACTCTTGCCAAGGTAACTCTAGAAGTCATCCCGGCCGAGAACAGCAACCTCGCCGCCATTGAGATGGAAAGGCTCACCGTCCGCGACCATCGTGCCTTCCGACCGAACCAATGCAAGGACAAGACATTTGGATGGTTTGAATTGCATTCCGGACCATCGCGTGAACTCTTCACACATTGAAAGTTGCGCCTCCAACTGTTGCCGCGACGACGCACACGGAGCAGAATCGTCTGCGTAGCCCTGGCCGTTGACGGTCACATACGGCGCACATCGTAACTGGTAACTGACGTCCGGCAAACATTTGACGCCCCGGATAAGAACTTCCATCACCATGTTAAAAATGATTGCCGAGAGAAGGCATCCTTGACGAACTCCTCTACCAGATTAAATTGGGGACGTATTACTAGCGATAGTTCGAATGTTAAAAATGACCGATACCCACGTTCGCCATTCACTTGGTTTGATTTGGTCCGTTTCTAGGCTGGACGTGAATAACGGTTTGGGGGCTGGCGTCCGCCACTCTGGAAACAGAGACCCGGGTAGACCAACTGCCCCTCAAGATGGACGAACGCCTCGTCTGGTGAAGACATTGAGACAGATTTATCCAGCAAGCGGGACAGTTTTTGACGCAGCTCCTCCAGGTTTAGAACACCCAATAGAATCGCACCCTCCTGGGGAGATAAACTCTGGCAATCATCCGGCCCAGAAATTGAGCTCTGATGCATCATGGTTAGCGTGGGGGTAGGAGTGGCCGCATTAATAATTTTTGCATCCACAGGATGGCCCGGAATATGGGTAACCAGCAAATGGAACAAACGATCCGTGGACAAGATATTTTTTCCGTAGCGTTCAATCAAATCTGAAAAAAATAGAAGAATGGTGTATCACATGGGGTATGAAAATATCTCCTAGTAAATGTTCAGCTGTGTTATTTAGCAACAAAAGAAGAAATCCAGAAATTAAGTTACAAATTGGAGGAGTAAATATACCAATACTTGACAAAGTAAACTATTTGGGCATGATATTTGATAAGAAAATGACATGGAAAGAACATATAGAAAATATCGTAACAAAAGCAGCGCAGAGATTAAATATTTTGAAATATGTTAGTGGTTCCAAATGGGGATCACAATTACACACAATGCTACTATTATACCGCTCCTTAATTCGCTCGTTGTTCGATTATGGAACTCAAATCTATAGCACAGCATCAAAAACATTGCTAACAAAATTGGAAACAATACAAAATCAAGCCCTTCGCATTTGCATTGGAGCTATGAGAAGCACACCAATGGATGCAGTATTGAATGCATGCTCAGAAACACCACTGGCATTAAGAAGAAAACAATTATGCTTGAATTACCGATTAAAATTACAAAACTCGGCTCAACTTACCTCAGCAAAAGTACTCGAAGAATCCTGGCAACATGAATATGTGGGAGATAAATTTGTATCATTCAAAACTATAACAGAGCTTGAAGAAAATGACTTGTCAAAACCTGAAAATAAAGACCAAATAAAACATTATATACAAGAAAGATGAAATATACAATATAAACAAAACATATCAGGACTATACTATAAAAGAATATTTCCGGAAATATTACCAAATTACTCGAAAAAAATAAAAGAATCAAGAATACAAACAAGAAATATTTTTAGACTTCAAACAGGACATGGTATGCTAAATAAACATCTTTCGAAATTCAATAAAAATGTAGATGAAATATGCGACCAATGCAACAGGGAAGTTGAAGACACTGAACATTTTTTAATACACTGTCCAAAATATGAACAATATCGAACCCACATTCGAAATCTTTGCAGAAGAAAAAATGTACCATTTACATGTGAAAACATACTATATGAGGTGAAATTTAGAAATACCATAAATTGGTTCATCATTCAAACTGGAAGAAAACTTTGAACACATTACAAAATACTATACTTACCAATCTGAGAATCAAAACAAAACTGAAAGCACAACCGAGTTGTTGACAAGCAGGTTCACGCCATGACGACAAAAAATGGCTGTAGCGAATTGGTAAAGTGTGTGCAATTTTACTGCAATAGTGCAAAGAGCATATATATATATATTCATTGAATAGTGTGAAGTGTTTTTTTTTTTTTTTCACAACATTTTAGTGACAGATTTTCCATTGTTCAGCACGAAATGCTATTTTGCGAAGTGCTTTTTAAAAACAAAAACAAAAAAAATTTTCCCCTTTGCACCGGTTTTAAGTGACAAGCCAAATTTTTATTCCAGAAGATTTCCGAGTTTCGCGTAACAAGAATATACAGAACCAAACCGGACAGCCAGTGTTCCCATGGATAATATAATACAGCGAAATTTTGGACGAGATATCAGATTTCATACGAAATTTAGATATAAATAAAATTAATAGACTAATGAATTAATAGACTAGTTCTAGTGAAAAATATAATCTTTACTCACTGAAAATTTCAAAGCGAATGGTCCAGTTTTCATTGAGAAATACGATTTTTTCATAACGATACCGAGAAGAATACAAACAAGAACAAGAACAACAAAAAATGCGAAACGATCGTTATGTCCACTAACGTGTCCAATAAACAAACAGGGACATAACAGATCTAAACTAACTACACTGCCTTAATTTATCTAATAATAAAAACCATTACCAAACGAACAGTAAATCAGCCGAGCGCTAATAGTGCGCACAAAGGAATACATGCACAGAGCTTAAAGTGAGCTTTCCTTGATGGAAACCGATCGTGGAAATTACCATAGCATCATGCTCGTTAGCACACTCTGTTCGTAAGCTCGCACAATTCAATGTTTACAAAAGTATTGTGAGCTGCTAGTCATCTGCATGGCGCCGTTTATATTTGCTATGTCGTTCCAATTTCTCGTAGGTGTCGCCATTATTACAGATAACATTTCGTTGGGTATATAACCTGTTTTGTTTGCATATTGGAACGGTCGTTATCGCGGAGGTCTCTTACCGAGTTATGCCTCGACCAAGCTCGATTCCATGTCTTTGGATACTGTCAATACTGCTTTATTAACGGTCATAAAACAAACGAGTCAATAGCTCTTGTAAAAGAAGAGATAATATTCCTGAAGTTGCAATATCTTCCCGCCACTCGTTCCTTTTCTGATTTCCGGCGCTACCGAGAGTATCTTTTACAACTCGCGGCAACAGAATGTCGGTTCCAAATGTCAAACTAAATACTGGATATGGTATGCCTATATTAGGATTCGGAACATGGCAGGTATTTTGTAGTTGCTTCCCTACAACAATGTTCGATTTGACTATTTTAATTTAGAAATTCATTATCATAACTTAAGCTGGTCTGATAAATAACAATCGTCTGTGAATAAGGTGCGGTTCGTCTAAAATTTTCATTGGTTTATATTGCTTGATGTGCTTGCTGATATGTTATCGGTGCTTATCGAGTTTTCGAAACTGTTGTTATGATATTGTGCGTATGATGCGCAGTGATGCTAGGTTGGTAGCTTACTGCCTGCCTATACCTCGCGGTGCAGCTGTAACATTTACGAATATGGTTATTGCAAATACAGTAGTGGGTGGGTTTCAGGCGGCCGCATTAACACGTTCTTGGATAATTACCAATGAATTTTGGCCTTAGACGTTAGACGGCTGCAAAAAAATTAGTAACGTGCGAAAAGCATTGTATTTGGCTTTTCGAAAGTTATGTATTAGATTTACCTGTCCTGGAGCATGTAAAGTTAATGAAGTTTACACAGTGACATAATACATTTTCTTACGACGTAAAATTAATTTTATTTGAAGTCTGAAAAAGGTGTAGTGGGAGCTGCTGTAAAGTCCGCATTGAATGTTGGATACCGGCATATAGATTGCGCGTGGGTTTACGGGAATGAAAAAGAAATTGGTGATGCGTTGGAAGAAACTTTTAAAGAAGGCAAAATTAAAAGAGAAGATTTGTTTTTGACCAGCAAGGTAAGTTTTAGAATTATATTTATTACACAATGCAAATTATACATTTTTATATACAATGTTCTATGTTCCGGTGTTGTATAAAACGAGCTCCGGAATGTGCAATTCGTCAGTATGTCATTCTTCAACATGTGTCATGCTTAGTATCTTTCATTTTGATTACCCATTTTCACTCTTACTTATATAAACATATTCATTACGAAATATTTTTTGTTTAGTTATGGAATATATTTCACGACCCAGAAGACGTCGAGGATTCGCTTCGCGAAACATTGAAATTTTTGCAAACTGACTATTTAGATCTGTATTTGATGCATTGGCCATTCTCTTTCTTTGTAAGTATGAATCACAGAATCGCTGCATCATAAACAAGAGTGAGAGCGCTGAAAATCGTGCGTTACAACCTTCTTAATAATATTTACATTTGCCAGTACGTTTTGTATAATATACTGTAAGAGCATACGATGACAAATATGGATATAACGCAAAGTGATAAGCACCGAGGTCAATTTGATGTGCATACACAGTGCATTATATAAAGAAAATTATGCGATCTGCTTATACATTTGTATCTAGAAATATTTGCAACAACGGATGTTTTTAATTACTTGTGCAAAAAGTATTTAACCCTGCTTATACTGCCCAATATGTACTCAAATGTCATTTATAATATTAACTGTATATACTCACGTCGCCACGTTGAATTATTCATGTACATTTCTTACCTGGGAGATGTAAATTTTGATGCATGTACATGACAAGTTACCAACACTCTTAACGCTTCAATGTGCATAACATAATTTTCTTAATGGTCAAATTTCATTAAAAATATTTTAGAAAAACGATAACAGAGATATATTACCAAAGGATGGCGACGACAAAGTTATGAACACTTATATTCATTATCTGGACACCTGGAAGGTATTGGCTCACATTGAATGTTAAGATATATTAGTCATATCGTTTACCATATACTATTCAATATATATAAGATATATGGTTGTCTTCTACAGATACTGTGCAGCGACAAAATGCCCTTTTTCTACAAATGTTTTACTTCTGCTACAGGCCATGGAAAATTGTCAGAAAAAAGGTTTGGTTCGCAGCATAGGTGTGTCCAACTTCAATGAGTATCAAATAAACAAAATCATCAAAGGGGGATCAATTGTACCAGCAGTTCATCAAATTGAATGTCATCCATATTTGAATGAGGAAACGCACATTAAGTACTGCAAAGATAATGGAATTGCAGTTACAGCTTATGCACCACTAGGATCTCCAAAAAGGCCATGGTAGATATACATCAGTAACATGCTACTCTTTTTCGAATTTCATTTTTTTGGCAATCTGTGTGATCAAATGTTTAAAATTATAATAAATAAATGATTTGTTGAAATTTGTATTAATTATATGATTTTTAAGCCCATTTTCCTCACTTCTACAAAATCACACTACATCTAACATATCGACATTTAACAGATCCTTATATTTGACACGTAGGGGAACAGCTGAAGAGCCCGTTGTTCTTAATGATCCTGTGTTAAAAAAGATAGCAGACAAATATGGAAAAACTCCCGCACATGTTGCTATCAAATTTCAAATGCAAAGAGGAGTGATTGTTATTCCAAAAAGCGTTACTCCAGCAAGAATTTCAAGCAATTTTGAGGTATAAAGTGATTATTTACATTTCCCGTTGTTCTTCCGCAAAATATATTATAGAAACTATTTTATACGTAGGTTTTCGATTTTGAATTGAGCAACGATGACATGGATGGAATTAGAGGAGTCAATAGAAATTGGAGAGGATTGAGCTTTGACTGGTATTGTGGAAATTTCTTATTTTCATTTTTTTTTTCTAGCGTCGTGTTGAATAAAAAAAAAAGTATTGCTGTTTCATGTGAATAAATCTATGATAGATTCTTCACAACGAGCTTAATGAGAAATTTGTTACTCATGCCAATAACTCAGCTCCATGCGCTTGACGTTTCAGTATACGGAGCTGGTACACGACACCTACATTTATATGTCATCATACGCAATGCGTATAAGCAATATAATATATTTTCAGGGCTGCTAAAAGTCACAAGTATTGGGCTTACCACCCAAACTACTCTGAAGATTAAACTCAAAATGGAAAAGGGAGAAGAACAAAAACTCAACAATAAATGTTGCCGAGTAGAATGGATGGATGAATGAATAAATTTGATTCTCATTTGTATAATTTTGATTGAAAACAGACGATTTTGTTTATTTCCCAAATTATTCATGCATCAATGTCAATACCGTATCACGGCAAAATGTTTTAGAAAATAACAATTGGAACCGTGAGATAAATATTGTCGTACTCTTTGTTCAAGGCTCGAGTAAACTTTATTTTGTACATACCATACTCCCTTATAGTCTTAAAGAAGTTATCTATCGTCTGAAATCAAAACTGCAGAAAGGAATATGGTGTCCAACGAAAGCATACTACAAAGAGGGAAAATGCACCAAATAAAAGGTAATAGCATATTTCAGGAATTCAAAACGTACTCGTGGGCTCTCACCTCTCAGTTCGCGTAATGTTGACTATAGCCCGGCATTCCCGAGGTCCTATCGAGATGAAAGACGGTTTGGTTGAAAGAGTATTTGTTTTCGCGGTGGGTAAAGTTCTAAGAATGTCAATTTTCGACTGAGTTGGCAAGAATATAGTGACAAATTGTAATACCATTGAATTCTTCTTGAAGATCAGCGCGTTTTCGCTGCTGTCATTGAAACAAAACATCAATCAGAACTTTCAGTGAAACGCATATTACTAGGGAGGCAGGATAACTCACGTGAGAAATTTTATCCTGATAGATCCATTCGTTTAGATTCTATGGCTAAACGACTAAGAATAGAAGGCTTCTGTAGAACGAGTTTCAAAATATATGGTACTTCGCTACACGAAACAAATATAACTATGTTTGAGCGAAAAGAGGTCCTAACGCTCAGTGAGTCATTGCCCTGAATACGTGGGTCGAAATTTCTAACGACCTTACCATAAAACAACTATGTTTCGCTTTTTCGGCAAACTAGATCTAGATTTGGTTATAATAGGATTCATTTCAAAGCAAGCCATATTTTATGTTTTTAACCTAAGCGCTAGTAAAAAAAGGCCCTCCTATACATATTTCGATCGCGATCTTCAGAAGCGTGTTATAATAATATATTGTGCATATTTCTTTTCTCCAAATCATTAATAACTTTGTATTCAATTTCTACGTCTTGTACATTTTGAAGTATATATTTGTCGTGGATTGCGTTTGCAAGCTGTATGCCATTAATAACATTGAATAGTAGTTAAATGTTGGCAAAGACAAACGAAGACAAATGAGATTTATTGGGAGTTTTATGACCCTATTATTCACAGCTATAAAAATATTCTCGAAACTTTTTTCAATTGAAAAAGCATAATCTCCTTCAAATTCATCTTATTTTTTAATGCACCAACAAACTTATGTTAAAATATAATTTTCCTATGTGGGTTATGCTGACGAGACAACGTAGCATTATATTACTTGTAACATTATTCTTGTTCGTACTTCGATGATCGACGCTTCCATACTGTGGCGTGTGCAACTGCCCACTGATGTTCTCTCAAAGTTTCTCGTATTATATATGGCATTTCTTCAGAATCAATCAACTCAAAATCTGGCAACAAATATGATTTTATAGTGTCAAAAGCTCTCACTTCTTTCCCATTAGAGTCTGTGAATCCACCGAGCCATTTATCCTGTGTAATAGTAATATACAATGTAACCTGACTCTAACTTTACGTTACAATGTAGTCAATGCAATACATGTATTATAATGCAATATAACAGGTGCTAATTGGGGAGAATGTTGAACCCCATAATGAAAAATGTGTCTCAGTCTTCAAGATGAATATAAACAATGTACTAGAATCCCTTCCTTTTAATGTATTTGACATCTGCACCTATACAACCGAACCGTGCAATTGCACAAAATTGGAAAATGCTCGTCTTATAAATAGAAGCAAGAAAGAGCTATCTAGACTTACCTTAGACGTAAATACGGTAAGAAATGTATATGGACTCGTAATAACACAAATTCCTCCTTTGGCAACAATATTTTTTAAATGCAAAATAAACTTCGTAGGATCTGGTAACCTACAAATGACGTTTGCAGCAAGAACACAACCGAACTGGCCCAGTGTCGATGGTAAGTTACAGGCATCTCCTCGCATGAATGAACATCTTGAAGTGTCCTGAGGAAATATGTAAAAATATTTCTATATAATCTATATAAAAAATCACCGGCAATTTTAAACCAATTTGTGGAGTAGTTAAAATTAAAAGCCCTAAACCTCGCCCTTTAAAAAAGTGAAAAAGTAACTGCAATAACAACTTGTGAGCAATATTATCCGTAATTTCACCTCGTGTCTAATAATTGAAATTGATATTCTAAATTTCACTTATATGTAAATAATAACGAATATAACAAGACGGTAGGCGCCCAGATCTACGCTGATACTCGAGGCTCGCTTCAGCCCAGGCTTTCGCGATTTTAAAGCCAGCACCAAACTAATGCATAGACAGGCAAGGCAGTCGATTCGTCACTGGAGGTGCAAGGTAGGCCCACGGGCGTTAAGACCTCAGGCTCGAGATTCAATTTTGAAATCGTTTTTGAATTGTAAAGGCTCGTTCCAGAATAAAACCAGTTCAAAATTTGGTGCTCCCAAAGTATTCGTATAAAGATGGCGCACAACCCGAACATAGTATGTGTACCAGGTTAGGGTTGTTCAGGTTGTGCGTCATCTTGGTACGAATACTTCCGGAGCGCCCAAAATTTATAAAACTGATAATTGTCAAATCTGTAGGTTAATAATTCTTGACCCAAACATTTACTATTTGAAGGGTTGAAAAATTCAATATGGTCAAATAAATGTATTTAAGCTTTTACATTTACAACAAAAAGTCAAATTAATTTAATAGTTTTTACCGTAATGATTCCTTTCTTTTTTAAAAATATGCGAGAATATTGATATATAGCTATATTAATTAATCTAAGATTCTAAGCAACAATTAATCTAAGAATTATTATATATTTACTATTTCGGATCTTTTTTATTGCAGACTTGTTTATTTTAAAAAGTGGAATGCGACTAAAAACGGTATTATGACATCGGGGTTTCTGGTGCCATGAAATTTCATTTCACGTTTGCTTTTATCAAAGCGCTTTTAAATTCAACGGACTATCCAATCTATTTGATGATTAGCTGCCTGCTTGCAAGACAATATAGTATTGCACACAAAATGATTTCTGAAGGCATAATACATATCGCAGGACACAGCATGTCTATCATGGCGTCATATTGTTGAAGAGAGGCCTCGCAAACGGCTTAGTCTAGCACTCTAGCCAACGACTAACATACCGGTCCAGCCTTAGACTAGAGCCTCTCGTTTAAATCCGGCACTGGTCACATGCCTTGTCTAAATGACAAATCTAATCCCTGTATACTTTGGATGCGCGATCCAAACAAGCAACTTTCTGAAGTTGCTGAATACTGTCGGATTTCGCTCTGTCACCATGTATGCAAAATCGCAAACCAATAACGGCAGCGTACTGCGGAACTACCGGTTCATTTTTGAAGCTGCACCTCTCGTCGGCATCCTTACGTAAGCTAAACAGAATTAAACACACATACAGACAGGTTCCAGGGCAGAACAACAGTCTGATGGTTTCCCAGCGCGAACATCCAATTAACTTACGATGTCAGTTGGTATAACTGCAACATGCTTAGTTGTTAAGTGGCCCTCCACGATAGCTTCGTATTCCAAGCGTTTAATTTTAGAAAGCACTTCACAGGTTCCTAGGAAAGCATGGCTGTAATCCAGTCCAACTGCCCTTTTGAAAGTTCTCGCCAGTTCAAATGTTGAACGACCGACTGCACATCCAATTTCCAGGCATTTGTCGTTGGAGCATGCCTTAATTTTAAGAATAGCAACGTATAAAATTAAAAAAAAATACTTAAAAGGGTAATATGTAATTCATGCTTCTTGACAAATTTCAAAACAATATTTAAATAAATATATACCAAGTAAATAACTTGAGCCCAATCTTAAAATTTTAAAAAGGCATTGTTTTATTCTCTATCCCCTAAATCAATTTGATAGAATTTTGATAAGAAATAGCATACATATTAAAATTTGAAATAAGGTATTCACTTATTCTCTATCATACACATGGCGGTGTATATCAATTATATATATATTGACGTAAATGTAGAAGAACGATTGGTATGCTACTATAGCGTGGAAGTATAACACCACATGTCGCAGAGCATTGTAGAAGAAAGAAGAGGAGGCAAGTTTTCGTTGCCTATAACGGAGATCTTAAGGCTACTACTAGCTTAAGAAATATTCCATGTTATTGTGATAGACCTCGTGCTATCGTTGCGCCGATAGGTTATCGATTGATTATAATGTGACACATCATCTGATGCAGGCAATGCCTAAATATGCTGCTATAGACATCGTAAAAATCGAATTCGTGGAATACGGCTCCTTCATGTGAACACGTACTACATATGCATTGCCATGAGATATATACAGATAAATGGGTACTCCTGAAGTATGCGCACCAAGATGTCGCATAACCTGAACCCTAACCTGGTACACAACCTGAGTTCAGGTTGTGCGCCATCTTGGTGCGCATACTTCAAGAGGTCCGATAAATGTTATGATTGGTGGAGCATATCAAGAATAAAATTTTAAACTTAACACCAAACACTGAATTGTACAACAAAGCGCTGATTGTTTAGTAAAAATGCTGGTTCACTACAAAATTATTAAATAACTGGTATTTAATTCGGAAGAAACAGGAATGGGCAGATTCGAACTATTAAAAGCGTTGTTTGATTCACATTGCCAGCTTTAGTGATTACTAACAACACATTGTATAAACCTCACTTACAGATCGGTCGAAATGCTTAACACAAAGCTGTGCACATCTCACTGGAAAATCATAACCATCCAACGGAGCACTAACATGCTTGCAGATTGTTTCTCGATCACCGTAGTGAAACATCATATATTCGTTTAATATTTTCTTCGTTTCGTACTTGTTTTCCTCATTTGGCAATTGGTTAAACAATACGCACTGGGATGAAGCGTAGTTGTATGCTGCTGCGAATGTCAGTCCTCCTCCTGAAATCAGTACAATACATTTTATTTTACAAACACCCGTCTGAACAATGAATCAAGCCGGTCATACCAAACGGACGCTACAGTTATGAATAATCTCTCTTGGCTTGCGAAGCAAAAGGTTTCAATCCATCATTTAGATAAAATCTTGTTACTTCTTCCAAATTATAAATATATATATAGTCGATATTGGTTAGATTGATTAACAAACAGAGTTAGTTTACATGTTATGACGATGACCAAAACACAATCGCAGATTTGACGAACATTGGAGGTAGTTATTAATCTGTATTAAATATTAAGAATGAATCATCTCCACGTCATTGGTTCATCGCTAGAATTGAATCGCTTGCAACTGGCAATTTGCTTATAGCAGTGCCATTAATTGTTTTCAAGAACTGGTATTACCTTTATCGAAAGGTCAATTCCAGAATTACTAGTACTTTTCCATTCTAATTTATTAAAAAATTCTTGCAATCATGAACTCCTGAATGGAGCTCGTATACTGGTATATCATAAGGTCGAAAGGTCAATTCCGGAATTACTAGTATTTTTCCATTCTAATCCATTAAAAAAATTCCAGCAATCATGAACTCGTAAAGACAGCTCATGTACTGTTTTACCATAAATATGATTGCCAAGTTAATGCAAGCGTAGTAATTTAAATTAAAAAAGTTTGAATATTTTTACAAAATTAGAATTATTAAAATGTGGTTAATAAAACATTGTGAATCATAGATTATTTTACTACGCCGCTGGCAAATTCTTTCTCAGGTCATACACATCGAACTTGATTTGAACTTGACACAATGAAGGGGCATCACAAAACCTTGCATGGGTGAAATTTTTGATCGTACAGTCATACTCATGTAGTTTAACGGGGAGTACGTCATCATTTTCTACCGATAGTAGTAATCCTATATTGGCTATTTCATCAACATGGACTTTTTGTCGATTTGTGAACTGTTATTAGGCATATTATTCATATTAGCAAACTATATTGCACAATTACGACCTAAACACCTACGACTTACTCTAATGACGATGTGGAGAATAGCCAGTGGCGTAGCCAAGGGGGTGGTTTAGCGGGTCGAAACCACTTTGAAAATAAAAAAAAATAAATCATTTTTCTGTATCATAGATAGCAATTTTCCGTAGCTTGAAATGCTTTTTAGACCCACAAGACTACTCTGAAAACACGCGTATTGCAGCGTTTGATTGGACCCGCTAGCAGTTTCGATCTAACTTGGCAAAAAAAAAAATCAGAACCCCTCCCCCCCTTTGAAAAAATTTTTTGGCTACGCCCCTGAGAATAGCTACTACTCTCATATCACTTGATGTAATCAGCAATAAAAAAAGATTTCAGTTCAAGCAAAGCGCTTATTCATTGGAATTTTCATTGGATCATTTTCAATACATATACATGGAGCTTGTGGGTAAAACGTATCGGGGTAACCAAGTGAAATAGGGTCCTCCTAAAAGTTCCATTTCTAATCTATCCTTACGCAAAGAAACTTCCTGCAGAAATAAAATTTTTGCAACAGGCAGCATACCGTATGTGGCGTAAAATCCCTTGTTGAATTATGTAAATTAAGATTTGTGTGTATTTTGACACATTCAAATTTGCCTACTTGTCATGCCCTTCCGCGTACAATAGTTATAATCATTGGTATTGCAAAGAAGACACAAATATGAAATTATAGACGTAATACTCCATACATACTCACCAATTACGAAGGCAGCTCCAACAAAATATTTTTTGATAGCGAACTCGCTAGAAAGCAACATATTTAAGTCCATCCTTAGTACATCAACAATCACCTTAAATAACGTGGAAACTTATCTGGACCGTAGCCCGCACTGGACAGTGTTAAAACAACGTCTTTCCCTCACGTACATATGTCGTATTTATAAGTAAGGCAGGTTAGTTAGTAATGAAAGCCATAAGAGATATCCTGAGGCGATTTTATGAGACGTGACACGGTACTTTGTGGTACTTTTAACTTTCAGGGAAAATATGAGCGCTCCAAGTGTGCGAAAAAGATACTTATACTTCAATTCTAAACCACCTGTCTACTATTCCAAAATATGCACGTACTCAAGTATATTGTGTATTTTACCAATTTTTATGGCATTCTTTTTTTTAATAGTAGGCCCCGACCCATCGATACTTACCTTAACGAAAATATGTGGCGTTGTATTTATACTTTGTTTGACCATACTAAGTAATTATATCACCCTAGATTTTATTATACTAATATTATGAGTTATTCAACTTCAATGATTGATGTATTTTACAATACAATAAAGCAGTGGCGGCGCGTGGTCATTTTGACAACTGGGGCAAGCTACTGCGGGACCAAGTCACCCTCATCTACGGGGACAGGATGAGCGCTGTAAGTTCTCCCATCATTTTATGAGTATAAAAACCATTCCATCGGTAACAACCAATCGGCAAAAGCGACAATTTTTAACGATAAGAAAGTGTCTTTAAAACCGGTCCAAGTCAAGGGATTAATAAATATAGTCATAGTTTTTTTTGAAACCTCTTTCAAAAGGAAAGGCAATATTTACCCAGATAAATACAATGACATATTTACAGAAACTTCGGGAAAGCAGACAAAACTTAAAATAAGGTTTAAAACGTTACTATTAGGAAAGGAAAGTTAATGCAAGGATAAGGACATGCGTCGCTCACTCATAGATATACATGCTGCTAGACTTCTACTGCTTGAACATATATGCAACACGCCGCGGTTTCTTGGAAGCAAAATGCTCAATAACGCGCTGATTAAAGTCATGCATCCCAGAAATAACGTCTCTGTGTATGGATAAAACAGCCAAGGAATTTAATCTATCTTGCTTCATTGTGTTTCTGAGATACGTTTTAATACGCTTCAGCGTGCTGAATGTTCGCTCTGCGTCGGCGGAAGAAATAGGCGTCGTCAAAATGATGTCCAGAAATTTTGCAGACGCCGCAAAGGTAGTTACTAGAGTGTTATCTATGAGGAATCCATAGAGCGCGCAAGTTGATGAGATGTTCAATCAAAAAAGTTTGATTGGTGTATATACATCGCAATTCATTTTCCAATTTACCCACGTTTATCATGAGGTAAAATTTGGAGACAGTAGCCAACAAATGGATGGGAAATTGACGTGCAAATTTTGAAAGATTTTTGGGGTTCATCAAAAAGAACGCGGCAAGGTGTTCAGTGCGCAGACGATCACCTATTTGATTCACCAGAATGTCACAGCATTCCTTTGCAGACAAAATCAAACGCTGCGTTGTTTGCCCGCGGCGTAAAGAAGCACTCCATGTGTCGTCGTATTTTATTGTTTCCCGGATACGAGATAAAGCATCGCAGAAGTCTGAAATACACGACTGCACAGACGCTCCATCCATTAGCCTTGACTGCAATGCGCCGTATAATACATCCACGTGATAGAATATTGTGGAGAAAAAAGCGAGAAAAAATGAAAACTCACCATCTTCTAGCAGACGCTTTAGACCTGCCGCCTCCCTCACAGAGCAGAGCGTTCGTCCCAAACCGGAGAGCTCTGAATGCCATTGAAACACTCAATAAGCTCAGACCTAATTTCGGACACGCCCTGCACCACGCGTGATTGGAAGTTCCAACGTGTTGGTGCACAAGCTGGGAGACGGCGGCTACATATCTGGCGAAGGAGGTCAGAGCACTTCGGCGAAACGAAAAAAAAATGAAGAAAACCCCGAAATATTTGCAAAAAATATACGGACGAGAGGGGTATCAAGACACATATTTTTAATAACGAGGTTAAATTGGTGTGCATAACAATGTAAAAAATGCGCATGAGGAAAATCTTCTTTTATATAAACTTGAATACCATGTTTCGACCCACTCATGACTGCCGCGCCGTCATAAGTTTGAGCTATCAATTTTGACTTCGCGTTGTAAGGCTGTAACACTTCTTTCAGTACAGCCGATATCCCGCAAGCCGTGCGATCAACGATTGTTACAAAGCTGTGAAATCTCTCGGTAGGTTTACCATCTTTCACAAACCGAAAAATCACAGCCAGTTGGGAAACGCACGTGATGTCAGTTGTCTCGTCAGACTGAATCGAAAGGAACTGGCAATTCTCAATTTCCAGAGCCAAATGTTGTAAACAAATTATATACATTGAGACGAGCAAATCATTTTGGATATCCTTAGATGTCCCTTTCGAAACAGTTGCGGCATCAAGATGATCTCTCCATACTGTATCTAGGGATGCGGTGTATTCCACCATATCCAAAAATACCTCTCTATTAGAAGAGCCAGCCCGTTCATCGTGCCCACGGAGGGACAGCTCGTGACAACCAATGAACTTCAAAACATCTATCAATCGACCGAGAACATGGCGGTTTTTCTCGACGTTTTGGTTGTGCCGACGAATAGAAACCGCGCGTCCTTCATCCAACTGTGCTGCAATATTAACATTTCCGAATGTTCGGTATTTTACTGCATTGTCCAGATGCTCCATAGAAGATTGATGATCCCTGGCACGCTCGGAAAGATGTTTAAGATCTCTAAAACCAAATTTACACCAACGTGACGTGAGTCACGGGCGGTAGCAAAAAGTAGGCAATAAAAACAAAAAAGTGCATTTTTGTCCTCGCTGTAACACAACCATTCGTGTTTTTTATACCAAGTTTCTGCGCAGAATGTACGCCGACGCTTTCCTCCGTCATGGGATTGTTCCAGTGAACAATTTTTTGGTTGATAAGGCCCAGGACGTTGTACCTCTAATTTTTGTTCCAGCGGCAGCTGCGAAAACGGAGTGCGAAGTAGTGCATCAACCTTATTCATTATGAGGTCTAAGGCTAAGAAATGCGAAGCCGGAAAGAAGTGAGGGAGCTCAAAAGGAATGTGGAAAATCGAAAGCAAATGGACTAAAGGTCTCTAACTGATTCAAATAGCGAAACAAGCGACAAAAACGAAGGCGAGGAAACTATCAACTCTTCAAGCAACCAACAAACGAGAAGGAATGCGTGAATATGTCAACACGTTGTTTGTAAGAAACGTCGGCATTGTGTCGTCATAATTTCGGGGCTAGCACCGATCGGCCCCGATGATTTAGTAAAAGAAACAGAAAACAAAAGAGACAAACGCGGCGAGTGGAAGATAAAAGAGAGAATACGATATACAATGAGCAACCGGGGCAAAATCGGCGTCGCCCCGTCGACGTTCGGCGAAGGCTTTGCGATCGAAAAATGAACCATGTCGGGAGAATATGGCTAGTGTAGACAGTCTGTGCAACCGATATTGAGGTATTTTTCGAATATTTTTTATTATACCGAAAAAAGATAGATAGTTTAAAACAATCGGGGCATTGCCCCGGTTGGCCCTATCGACGCGCCGCCACTGCAATAAAGTAACGAGAATATAGGTCAGAGACCGAAGACTTATAGATCGAAGATTAGGGGATCCCAAAAACAGCGCTCTTACTCCATAGTGACACCTTGTGTCCCATCACTAATTAATTATTAACTCGCTAATTGTACGACATAATTTGACCAAAATCAATAGGCTTCTGGTCCGAGATATGATGAAAGCACATGCAAAATCTGGAGCAGATTCAATCTCGCTTTCGTGAGATATCGCGTGCATCTAACAGACATACAGACAATTACCTATCAACATACTTACCGATAAAAATCGATAAGTAATAATGTTAGGAAGTAATAAAGTTATTAGGCAACTATGGTTTGGTGATTTTTTATATGATATTATATGACACAGAAAAATATTTCTTTCAGCGACATATAGAGCACGCGGGCATTCAAAATTTATATCCAGAAAAGATCTTTTTCCAGTTCGGAATCATGTCTTATGAAACAATGTGCTTTCATAGCGCGTGTTAAAAGGTGTTGATAGAAATCACCAACAACTGATTTAATTATGCAGCTAGAATCATCTAGCTTTTTATAGCAATCTTCTTTATCTTCTTGCTTTTAATTACATGAACCTTTAAAATTCGGAAAATTAGACCGTAAGAGTACATTTATTATTCCAAGTGTTGTAGAAGTTATCCTTCATACAAACTCTTACAGGACTCGAGCAGATTGTATTTAAGACTACAGATAACTATAGTACAAGTTTATTTGGACTCCATAATCAGCATAATAAAGGATAAAGTAATTGATAAAAAGGAAACGAATAAAACTGATTATAGAATCGGGAGCGCAAACAAACTACCCTATAAGTATTTCAAGAACACAAATCCTTTTTTACACTAACACAAATATATTTCTGTGGCGTTTCGTCAAATCAAGGTCAGACTTCCTCGGGCAAATATTAATATACTACAAGAGAAATTGCATGGGTATTTAAACAGTGGGTGTCATAGCAACATAAAAATATCTTAGTAATGGGAGTTATACATGTTGAAGAATCAATAAAATAGGTGTAATAATTAATTAAAAGCGGATGACTGCGATGAAGGATTTGAAAGTATTCAGTAAAGAAAGTAATCAATAAATGTAATAGGGTGATGTTAGTGCCTAATTTTCAATACCTCTGTATTATGAATATCTGCTATTTTAATAATCTGAAGTTCATTATAGGTAGGAATAAGTTGTGCATGAGTTTCACTACCAGAAACAGCACGGATGACCCTATTCTGCATGATTTCAATTTGATGTCTTATCAGCTGATCACCATGCAATAATATCATGTTGGACATGAGACTAGAATACAGAGTGGCAAACATGTTATTACCGGTATGCAATATATATTTATAAGAGAATTAATAGTTTCTAATCTAGTGTTTTCAATCTGCATTGATAGATTATCTTGAGTTTGGCATTTGTGTGATGCAATGAGCATAGTTTCAGAATTTACAATTTTAAAGTTCACCCTCGATTGAGGAGCTGGAAGAGATTTGTCACTATCAAGAAGATTAGTGTGATCAGCGAATAAAATTGAGAAGAATGGTGGGCCATGGTTTCGAGTCTCAATGGTACAGGGGGTCGCCACGAAGGACCGTACGTAGAAAGAGTACAGAGCTATAGTCCTCTTCGATTGTTATTACGCGGATTACAAAATAAGTTTTATTTATGGAATTTCTGAATAGGGGGTTCAACAGACAATTATCTCTTCCTAAATGATTCCCATATATAATTTAGTTTTTCTTTTATGTGCCGTACTTTCTCACAACATGGCTCAATCGTTAGCTGTGCTTCGCGCATTTCCTCGAATAAGCCGTTAAGTGTATATTCGGAATTTTGGGCCAACATGTGTCATTTTTTACAATATAAATTCATCAATACAAATTCATCACGCCGCAAAATTTCACTATGGAGGTGCGGTTATAGTTCCCATAGGGGCCTCAGCCCTTTCTGGTCATTTTTTACCACCCCAGTTCAAAGGCCCTCACCAGTCCATAATCAAAACCATTAAACGGGCATTTCAAGTTTAGCCTCGAGATCGGAAAATATTCTACCGACGTAGAGGGGAATTCGAATTTTCTCTCGATTGCCACTTTTAACGATTGCCTTGCTCAATTCCCAACGTAACACATATCTATGACGTCATTCATAATAAGATTTCTATACCATTATTGGAAATCGAGCTCAAGTATTCATAACATCGATGTAAAACTTAGTGAAGAGGTAGGCCTACCAGTTAACCACACGACACTCAAAACATCGCACACGATGTTCTATAACGTCTGTTAAAGTCCGATTTTGTGGGAATGAGCAATCACCAGTCACCCCATTTTAAAGACCTCGACGTCACTAACTAGAATTCGGTTGGAAACCGAAGACTTATCGATCGGAGGTTAGGGGATCCCCCAAAACAGTGGTCTTACTCCATAGTGACACCGTGTGTCCCATCACTAATTAAATAATACCTCGCTAATTATACGACATAATCCATCCAAAATCGATAGACTTCTGTTCCGAACTATGATGAATACACATGGAGCAGATTCAACCTTGCTTTCGTGAGATATCTAACAGACAAACAAACAAACAGACAAATACCTATCAACATACTTACCGATCTTAGGATCGATACGTAATAACTATATTACTTTCAAACTGTATCATGTGTGTCCAGCTGGAAGCAATTCGATTTCCTGCGCTTTTGTATATAAAATTTTCTGTTAGCGACACTCGGCCAGGTAAGCCTGCAGATTTTGTACTCGTGCTGTATACGATATAGTTTTTGCGAGTTTACCCGCGTTTCGCCCATGTACACTGGACTTTTATATTCATACAATGCATAATGCTAATGTATATCTTCTATGTGGCTTGGTTTTGTGTATGGATATGCTAGAAATACATCAGTAAAATGAGTTGCCTAGTATACAGTACACCAGATCTCGCCCATCTCATTTATTATCGTTCAAATATTAATAAGAGCACCTTTGTAATCGCGCACGTAGGTCTCTATTGGTACTTCATATCAATTATTGAAAGAAGAATTTGTCTCAAGATCTACCAAGTTCATTTCAAAGTGGGAATACTTGATTTTAGTGCTTAAAGTGAATTGGCCACTCCTTCTGCGTATAGAGTTTGTTATCTTGGGTGTGGTGTATCGTATAAGTGTCGCAGAAATGTGGTTTTCTGGTTTGTGTAAATGGTATTGACGGTTAGAGATGAGTCAGAATTGAACTTTGGCTGAGCGTGGACCAAAGATAGCTCGCATCCATTTACAACTATATCTTAAAATTAAACAAATATAATCTGACTATATTTGCGGCTCATAATAGGGACAGATAAAGTTTTCACTTCCTCAGTCAAGTGTAGTTTACGAAACTGCCACTACGTCCAGAATAGCTTTTGTTGAAATCGATCGCATATTAGCTACAGTATTGAAGTAATATTCCGAGCAATTAATCATATTTGAATATAATGAAATCAAAACAAGAGAATACTTCATCAAGACCACCGGATATTTTCATGTGCTCATTCAAGGTAAGTTCTAAAGCATTGGAACTTGAATGTATCGCCAATTTAAAAATTGCTAGAATAGCCGTACACTGCAAAATATATGTATTTAAGTTAACAATATTTCACGGTAACACAAGATAAATACATCGAAACGCACACACATCTGAAACAACGCATTTAGTCGCTTTGGCGTGAACCTGGCACAAACGTTTTTGAGAGTTGATTACGATATAATCACAAAATATTCATTTTTCTTAGTGTCTGAACCACGTTGGGCGCAACCCGTTCCCTCTTAAATAGGTATTTGAAGACTCTTTTGACGAGGCCTTTCGTCAAATTGGATGCTGTATGGGCCAACTGTCGGTCAAGTGATCGAAAGTGCACTTTAAACGTCATAGGCTCAGACAAGTTCCACTTTATTCCATGACAAACGACACATTTCAATCACATGTAGATGAACAAGTGGCTCTGATTTGGGGATAAACAACTTGTGCGCTGGGTTGTTAGGTTCAGTTATAGTGACAGTGTTTGTGTGCAAATCAAAACTCCGCAATGTCGTAAAGCGCCGACGCGTTATAACAAAAGTTCGAATCAGCAGATTATTATAATGATATGAATGGATCTACTTTAGAGCTACGTAAATGTAAGGTATTGATGCACTTGTTGCCAGCATGCCAGTTTACGGACTTTTGAAAGGTGAGCAAAATATTGACAGTCGGTCTTTATCTTAAGTTGCCACTTCATACTAGATAAATACATAGACCGTAATTTTTGCTTACTGAATTTACGCAAATGTTGAGCTTGTTTGCCAATAGGTTAATTGCACCATTGAAAGCTTCATTCCGATCAACCGCGCTCGATTTTCAATGTAATAAAAATGAATATATGATTTTCAAAGTTTATACCGGTCAGTCTTACAGATCAGCAAGGTGACTATGTCTGAAAGTAAGATATAGGGACGTAGCAAAACCTAGAACAAATTGTAACTAGCTGTCAACAACAATTTAATACCTGCTGTAAACGGTATCCTAAAATCGTCATTGACGTCGTGTATAAGGAAACTATATGTATAGAGGTGACTTGGAATAATATTTTGACACAAATATCATTTGCTCAAATTAAATGTCAATTTGAACTTCTGATGCGTTCAACTTATATTTTTTGTATCCTCATTTTGATGCCAGATCACCAGATGGGGACTTTCCTTTTGCGCCCGTCTTCAGTACACGTTGGAAGATCACTTGGCAATTGTGGATTTCGATCAACCAATTTTCAAGCATTTCAAAGCAGCAAGAATATAAGATCACGTCCCGCTTCAGCCAATATTGATCGCAATGTGGTGATTGCAGCATATGGCACTCAAGTCACCTTACACAGGTAAAGATAATAAATTCTTAAAATGATGTTTCTTATCAGAAACAATACTTGACAAAACTATTTTATTCGGTAAAGCTTTTTTTTTTATAAAAGATTAATTTCAAACTACTAACGGTGTTCAAAATAGCTGAAATTATATAAAAAATTATCTGAATCTATTAATATTTCGGTACGGAATACCTATCCCATTTGCTCAAATTGTCTTCTATAATAATGCATTGTGGCGTTCAAACATTAGTATCCCAAGTTTCACAAATAGAAAAACTGAAACTTCAGAACGCATCATCATAAACGAAATTTAATGTATTTACAAACAATGCTTCGTAAATGTATTTGTTTGATCATTGGTCCCCAAAATGTATCTACTAGTTCAATGACTGAAAAACCTAAAAAAATGTTACTACCACAATCTCCAATAATAAAATATAAATATGTTACATTTTTACTCAGATCATTAGATAAGAAAACAGAAACTTACCATAAAACCAGAAAAACGTCAGCAACAACAAAACCAAGAAGGGAAAGAGGATCTCCAATAGACATTCGCGTCCCAACGGCAAATATATCAGTATCAGGATTCAAAGCAACCCCACCCACTGATGACAAAGTATCTAGCACCACACGTCCGCCTGGGAGGGAAATTATTTTGAATGAAGATGAGGCAAAATTCAGTGCCGTGAGTGATGTAGAAACGGGAGAATTCAATGTTGCAATAGACACATCGAAAGAAAGAGTTTACCAATCCAAAGTATCTGACTCTTCTGCGGAAAATAACATATTTGCCGCACACAAGCCAGTCATTTTAGCATCTGGAAATATGAACGCGTGGAACGAGCCATTTGCGTCTCCACCAGGAAATAACGGGGCTAATGAGAAAGATAAAACGTTGGAACGTTGGAAACAAACAGCGTGGAACAAAAGACGCGCATCAGAACACTCGCAAATTACCCCAAGTGCAGTGAAATTTGTAGATATTGCAGAAGTAGCAAATTCATTCCCTGATCTTGACAAATTAAAAATGTCTCAAAATAGAATTAGTGTCGACGTCTTGGGGAAACCTACTTCTGTGAAAATACCTTCAGGCAGTCCTTTCGAAAAAACTTCTCCATCGGAAAATTTTGTTCCGAATAATTCTCCTGACTCGATTGATCTAGACGCAATGTCCAACGAAAATGTCCGCCAATATTTTGTGAACAAGGAAAAACCGACACTGACGGGCAGTAATTCTGATTTATCATATTTAGCGCGATACCGAGATAATCAAGGAAGTTGCACAGCCAAAATTAGAGAAGTTTGGAGTACAAGAAATACAAAAGAGGTTTCATCAAGTAAGTAGAATCAATATTTTACTTCGTCAGAAGATCAGTATTATGTCCATTTTTGTACTTCTCATTAGGTTGACAAAATTGTGAATGATTTCACTTTGGTAGAACACAATTGCAAACATTTTTAAGTAGTGGTATGCTATTATGTAGAAATCGTAGCACTGTATTTTACATGTAAACACGGTCAGTAATGTTGAGTGAATTTAAAAACAAAGGTTATTGTTCTAAAAGTCACATGCCATTGACTATATACTTTACTTGTACATTTCGTTTTTATATTAGGAATGTATTTCACCCATGAAACGTTGCAAAGACCAAGAAGCGCCTCAACTAGTCGGTATCTCGACAAATCCATACAATACGACACTTCGATGCCTACCAAACAGGCTTCTGGGACACAGAAAACAAAAGCACACGAAAAAGCGGCAGGAAGAATAGGAACCAGAAAACGGTATGCATTACGAAGAAAGAAGAAGATTGGGCATGCACTATTGTCTCGTTCACTGAATTCGCTTGATTTTTACCAACAACAACAACAACAACAAAACAGGGATTTAGCTCGAACAAGTACGTTGAACATAGAGGCTGTTTACGTAGATTGTAAATCACTCATCAGACAGAATCATCGTCCTACCACCGCAATACAATACTGTAAACAAGATCGAGCAACGTTACATTCTATAACACCATGTGTGAGAAAAGCTAAAGTTGCTCATACAACATATATTGCCATGCACCATCACGAGCCTACTTCACCACGCATTGACAACAGACATAAACAATACGGTGAACTACATGCTCCTGCTGCACCGAACCTTAAAGTAAAAGCAAAAAGTTTGTCTAGAATTAAACACCCATCACCCAATCGTGTGTCCGAAGTTCGACAACAAGAAACCCTAAAATCATCACTAAACATTGATCCTAACAATAATGGATTTTCTTCTCAAAAAATCAATCGCGATGACAATTCACTGAAACAACGCGAAATATCGAGCGATAGTGGGCAAACTTCTGCCTCCCAACCATACAAACGAAACAAGAAGTATGTCAATATCAAAACAGTTAGAGATGAAATAACAGCGCAAAACGATCGCATTTCACTTTTATTGCTGTTACAACAGCAGGCTCACGATGATTCAGATGAAAATGGAGACGAATCAAGTGTAAGCAAAGATCTTATTGAGGAACAAAGAAAATCATCGTTATCACAAAATGTCTCTCCTTTATCCAGACCACATGTTGAAACACTTGAAGACGCTACAGAAGTCGTGCCAGGCGAAAGTGAGTGCGCCACGAAGAAGAATAGGTTAATTCAACAATGGCTTCAAAATGTTGAAATGTCACAAAAGGACCTTAAAAATCCCCACAACCAAAGTGAAAATCTGTAAATGCGATTGTATATATGTTTGACTCTAAAATCATTCTCTAACATAAATATATTGTGTTTGATGATACTAGAAAAATATAACAGAATGCATATTTTTAGATTTTCGTGTGTCATATTACACGCCTAAACAATTACCCATACACGCGTAACCGGCATTGTATTCTACCTGCACATATAGAGTTATCAACACTTATAATTAGTGTATAATCACATAATAGTAAAACTTTATATGACCTTCTTATTTTTACAGTACTGCAACATGTAATCACACAGATGACGTTTTATAAAAAATGTCCAAATTTAAAGATTCAAATTAATTTAAGTTCGTAGCGAGGGGTTATGTGAAACGTAAAGCGTTGATGTCATTCGTACCAAGTGTCACTGGAGTGGATATAATTTGAACAATTACAACGTGAAATTCTCACAATAAATCTTTCGTCCGGTGTGGATTACGGTTAAGTATTCTTGACATTAACAGGTTCCACACTTTGCCATTGTGATAACTGACCTACTTGTACTGCTTGGGATATTTGTTTTGCCTTAACTTACATCGTTCCCACGCCAACTTACAGCAAGACTTAGGCACACATAAATGATAAAAACAAGTTCAAGTAACTCAACAAAAATGTTTTGTACATAGAAAATCACAGTCGATTATATTTTATAGCTGTTTGTAAAACAGTCGATTGTAAATCACCAAAAGTGATCTTTTGGCATATGCTTGCTTCATCGTGTATTATCACTGTATTTATGGTAGAAGTTTTGTGGCCATTCTGTGGCGTTTATTGCATTTCTTTTTAATTACAAACTATATTTTTGTTTCCCAAAATTTCTGAAACTCGCAAAAAGCATTGCGGAGTTTATTATGTAGTCAATATGCTAACAATGACCAGGAACAAATCTGCCTACAAGTCATTTCTATTGCCTTACCAAAAAAGGTAATTCTGGAAAATGTAGCCTACCGTATGTCGTTTTTCGCCATGAATATATTGGATTTTCTCTAATTGGGTGGCAAAATCGATACAATTTTGATGTCTGGGCTGAAGAAGTCGATATATATACTGCGTGATAATATTCAAATATACAAAAAGTAATATTTATTTCTATTTTGATTTTGTGAAACCATTAAATGCATGTATAACCAAGAATTTTAGTTATTTTATATATGGAAGTGGGAGCATCATAATTGGGGGCTATTCAACCTTATTTTGTCATGCAAAAATGTTATGACGAAAATTCTGTAGATCTTAATTCAAACATCTTAACCTCAAACACAGGAATATTTTTGGGGTACCGAAGAAGTAACAGAGGCTGACTTATTTAGGGGTTTAAGTTGTTAGGCTGAACGGCTACTTCAACTGATTTTTGAAGATTGGATTCGAAATGATCGGCTAATGGTTAATATAATGCTTTTTAAAAGATTCGGTTTTGTATTGCGGACTGTTTTATCCGCTGATAATGCAAAGAAGTGGATAACACTAACATTTATAATTGGCTGATAAAATCGATACCGTTGGTAACGTAATATAACAAGAGAGCGATGCTCAAATATATGGACACGTAAGCCGAAACGAAGCAGTAGTCAACTGTACGATACGTACAAAAAATTACCGACTTTCGCGTAATACGAGAGAGGTCGCGGAACCGCTACAAATAATTTTATTAATTTTTAAGAGTCATCAAACAAAGTTTCGAAGTGAAAAACGAATCACATAGAGCCCAAAAGAGAGTTTTGAAATAAATAAAAGTAATAGCTGTTTAGCGAGAAATACAATCTTTAACCACTGAAAATTTCAAAGCAATTGCTCCATTATTTAATGAGAAACGCTTTTTTTTCATAAGAACAAAAAAAAATACCAACAGGAAGAATAACAAGAGAGCGATTCTTAAAAATATGGTCACGAAATCCAAAACTAAGAACTTTCCGTACCGTAACTACCGGTATCAATTTATCTCCGGATTTCGCGTAGCGTAGCGTCAAATCAGAAACGGCCGCAACGCTTGGTAAAAACAGTGATTCCATGAAACATAAAAATATAGGGAAGTTTTGAATGAAATATTAGATATCATAGGATCCACAGGAAATTTAGGAATAAATAAAAAAAAATTCTAACGAAAAATACAATCTTTCACCACTGAAAATTTCAAAGCAATTGATCCAGTGAATGAGAAACGCGATTTTTTTCATAACAACATGAAGAAAAAATACCAACAACAACAACATAAAACGATCGATAGATCCACTTCGCGTCCTCTAAAACGATCCATAGGCACACCCCGTGTTCAGTAATAAGCATATATATATATACCACCAGCTTTTGTACCTATTTAGCCAATCAAATACGCATATACAGTCAATGTATTGTTTTTGTAGTGTAGTCAAGATCGCTAACGAGATTTGGACATGGTCCCTTTCGATAACAGTAGGTTCTCCAAAACGCCTCAAGTGAATTATTATTACAAGTGTATCAAGTAGATTTATTGATTTGCTTTGACCCAAGCACCATTTAGCGGTTGCGCGCACAGACATACAGATTCAACCGTTCGTGATCGCCACATCGTAATAAAAAACCGTTTCCGAAATTATACTGCAAGGTAAAGAACACGATTAAATAACGAATTAAACAAAATTTACCATGAGTGTAAATAATTTTCACCAAACTTTAGTTTGATTTGATATCATATTATTTGAATGAATTATGGAAATTTTGTTGGAAACGTGTGTAATGGTAACACTCATTCAAGTGTAATTCATAAATTGATCGAGTGCTCTTGCAGCAAATACATGGCAATGTATACAGACATATACATCAATTTGTTATGTATGTACATCATCCGATCCGAATGACTTTATTTATATTGAGTTGGCCGTCTATACCAGTGGTTCTCAAACTTTTTTAGTCCCAGAGTCGCATTTCAAACCTCAAAGCTATGAAGAGCCGCACACAAACAACGCAAGGTAAAATAGCAACAAACCTTAAGCGCGTATTTAAAATACCAAGTCATCGTAACAACAACACACGTAACAACTAAGGATGGGCAAAATATTCGAATAACAAATCGAATAATAAAATATTCGAACGGAATTTTACTATTCGATATCCGGTACCACGTGACCTGCGCCGCTTTGATTGGACACCGAACTCGCGTGTCTCCAACCCAATCGTGAATTGTGCAAGATTTCCCAACGGTGCTCGTTTTTTTAAAAAAAAAAAGACAAATTTGAAAAGTCGTTGTCTTTGCGTCATGGTGTTATATTATGCTAATCTTTGCACTTAACGTATCGTTTCAATTCGTTATTTTGCAAAAAAACGTACCGACCGTACCGTATTTGAAATAAATTTCCCAGATTTTAAACTGCGCTTGCTTGGTGACATCTCATTAGCCATTTCTTGCATTACCGAACATAAAGTTGATTAAAATTAAATGTTAAAATGACTTTTCGGCGTTTCATTGTGAAATAAACGATTTATGTTGTTAGAAAACTCTAGTTATGAGTTACTTGTATGAAAAACACTCATTAGGTTGTAACCAGATAAGAAATGTCATGTCCTACTCCCTTTAAAGCACTTTGTATTAGCCCTTTAGTGACCCCTTAGAAAAGCATGGGAAACTCAATTATCGTTTCAATAAATATCTGCATCTCGGTTACCGTTCACTTTAAACAGGCACGGTTAATTTACAAGCGGTGATAAGGAAAATCAAAATCGAGGCAGAGGATGTAACTCAGAATAAAATTAATTAGAAATATGAAACTTCGATTTTCGGCAACCGCGTGTACTTGCAAAAAACGGGAAAGGGCGGGAATATAGAATACCAACTTTAGGATATTGCCGCCGAAACAATCGCGGTGACAAAGACAATCAGCGCTTATGATGAAATTAATTATTAACCAGTAAAAAAACGCTTTATTGCCGACTTTTCAATGTTTCTATCAATTTCCAAATGGAGTATCGACCTCCGACGTTCTGCATCCATGTTATGTATAAAAAATATTCAAATTATTCGATTCGAAAAAAGATTCGATTTTGCCCACCCCAGACTAACAGCCAATTATTTTGGCTTCGATTTCTAATAAGTTTATCAAACCGGTTAGTAATCGTGGAGGATGCATAGTGCAGTAGCTGCTTGAGATGATCGCCAGCTTTTCGGGACTATTTTCGATTACTGGAACAAAAATAAAATGCTCTAGAAATCAAAATAATCATTGAGTTATTTGATTTATACTAGGGTCACCTTATTTGAAAAAGCAAAATTCCGAACAGTGCATGACTATTTTCATGACCTCGTAGTAAAAAAATATGCACACGGTACGAAATAACAATGTTCTGTATAGCAGTGTGTACAGTACGATTGCAGATGCAGTGAAATTCCGGATTCCGGACATTTGAGCACTTTTTAAAATTGTTCCCGGACGCAAAATTTAACCCTAAATTCCGGACATGTCCGGAATTTTCCCGACGGTATGGCAACCCTAATTTATACATAATATCCGGAAATGCGACAAACACTGAAAATCCGCGAAAGCAAGCCAATGATTACAGCCATGTGTAAAATCTTTCCAAGTGAAAAGTGTCCGCGTTGCCGCGAAAACGCTTACTGTTGCGTCACTATTTCATCTTGCAGGTTAGCTAGCCAACGCTACGCAAATAAACACGGGAAAATCCATTCGACTAACTAATAGCCTTCAGCATTTTAATTTTGAGTCATTGATTAGTTTTCCATGAAAATTTTTCTTTGAAAATAATTAATTTTTAAAGCATTAACGAGAGCCGCAGGAAAGGTTGTTGAGAGCCGCATGCGGCTCTCAAACCCTGGTTTGAGAATCACTGGTCTATACTCTATACATATGACATTGGCTTTTCACGGATATTTATTTGTTTGGCGTTATATGAGTTTGTTACACAGTATATGATTGTTATTGGTTGTCACATCACCATTCCCATTATGTCAAACAGAATTTCAAAATGTGTCAAAAAGTGCTGGGATGGCGTTCGCTAAAATAGTTCAAAAAATATCCATTTGAGCTCTAGGTGCCATCTCGATTGCAATTCAATAAAACTGCGAGGCCGTATCTCACATATACTATCACGTGATGGCAGAAATATTCTCGGCAGAGAACTGGAACCAATTCCACCACTCCTGTACCCCCAAAGCTAAAACGTTCTACTCTACACAAAACGTAAACAATATGAACGCGATAGAATGATCATTTGTGACGAAACAATCTGTAGAACCTCTTGTTACATCATTATTGAATATGGTAAATATAAAATTGAGTTAAGAATAATCTCTGATGCAAGTTGTTGATTAAATCGAAGAGTGCTGCGTCAGATAAAATGTAAGTTTGAAAAAGGAAGAACATATTAATCCTTGGATAGGATGCATTAGAAGAGATGCCTCCAAAACAGGTCGGGAATATGCCAGGTGAGTGAACATAAATTTCGTTGTCGACATGTAGCATTAGTAACTCGAAATCGCAATTTCGAGAATTTTATTCTGAACTAGCTGCAGAATTCGTACGCAATAAGAAGTACGCGGTGATTACTTCGCAGGTTGTATAGGGCGGTGCCGACGTTTTGTTTTTAGGAAATCTGCTCGAGCTAGCCTATATGTAAAAATAGGTTTTCTGACAATTTTTCTTGTAACGTTAAACAAATGGACGATGACTGAAATTGTTATTTTAAACTCATCTTCGACTAACAGCGGTATACTCACAATTTTCAAAGTATTCAAATATTTATTTAGCCTACCCAAGAGAGCCAAAAATAATTTCAATGAAAGAGCGGAATTGCCTCCTTGTCATGGGCCTAATTAGTCAAAGTAAATTTTTTACAAAGGCAGTGAGTAGTGACAACTGTTAACTATCTTCAGATCTGCGTGCAAAAGTGTGAAAAAATATAAGCATCATTATATTATTATTATTATTAAGGAGTCCTAGGCCAAAACAAATCAGATATTTTGTTTTTACACTATACAGACCGATCAAGCCAACACGTAATCATGCTCCGACCGAATACAATCTTCAGTACAAACGTTGGCCACAGCACGCTACTGAAATAAGAAAGGACTCAACATCAACTAACGTCAAAGGAAAACTTGTCAGGGCAGGGAGAATCTGGTCGTCGAGTAAACCCAGAAAGCGTTCAACAATCTTATCTGATACTGTAACTACTTCATATCCCAAGTCATCGGATTCAGTAAGAAATTTTGGTTTTATTAAACATTCTGTAGCTAACTTTAGAACCTCCGCACTTTGCACTATATATATGCCACTATATATGCCACGAAAGGAGTAAGAATTTCAATATTTCGAGCGAGAGCCGGGACCATCCTGGCATAAAAATAGTTTTAATTGATACTATTAGGCGTTCATATAATGCATAATTTGTGGATATTACCGAACAGATTTTCGTTTTTATTGGAAACAACTTGTTATTGGACATGAAATGTACTTATCGTTTTATTATTATTATGTTGTTGTTTATATTTTCCTCTTATTTTTATAAAAAAAATCGATTTTCTCGTTTACTACTGGACCAATTGCATTGAAATTTAATTTTCAGTCGTTAAAGAGTTTATTTTTCGTCAAAAGGCTATTACCGTTACTTTCATTTATTTGAAAAAAATTCTGTGGCCTCTATGCGATTCATTTTTTGTGTGCGTAAACGTCTTAAAAATTGCGCTTCTTGTGGCGGTTCCGCTTTCGCGTAAGTGGATATCTAGTGGTCAGCTGAGGTACGGTACTACGGTACCGGTAGTCTACCCGTACCCGTACTACTTCTTTTTGACTTTTGTGTCCATATACTTAAGAATCGCTCTTTTGTTTTCTTTGGTTATGACGATGAATACATATATATGAATTCTGTACATAGTCCTGTTGTTTAGCTTCATTGTGATACGTCTATCTATACAGTATGTGTTCATTTTTATTAACAACATAGTATTCATAATGCATAAATGGACAACACGAAATTACATTCAAAAATGTATTTCAGGTGACAGGTAAAGCGGCAACCTGCGATAGCGATTCAGTGTTCGGGGTTCTATCTTGTACGGATATCGATAATAACAATGGTGATCTGTCTAAAAGTCTGCAAACAACGCAGGCTCAGTTACATACCAGGCCCGAATTATCTGTTCAGATTGACCCAACAAAGTCTTACGAACGTGAAAGGAAAACTCGAACTCGCCAAGAAAATATTTGTGCCTTAGGTAAGGCATCCGCGCCGATAAAGAAGGCTTGGCTTACAAGGGAAGAGGAAGAAAATTACCAAAAGGAACTTCAAGACGACATATCTGCAAAACTTCGCTGTATGAGTGTTTATTCTGGTATTGCTTCAAGTCATGCCACCACCCATTCGCAAAACTCATCAACTAAGGAATCTCGAGCAAAAACCATAGAAAGTTGTAAACTTTCCTTGTCTGATGAAGCTTTGAAAAAAACCAATACATCGGCAAGACCCCAGAGTCTTGTTGAATATTGTAAAAATCCAACAAAAAAATACGAGTTGTGATTCAATATATAAAAATACCACTGAAAATTCTCACGAAGATGCTTCTTCAGATTGGAGATTTTATTATCCACAGGAAGTCGAACATTCTCCCGTTCCATGTCTGAAATCCGGTGGAAAGGTTCCGCCAAAATCCCCCCCTGTGCATGAACATAAAAAAGAAAGCTAAATCTCGGTGACGGCATTGACGTAGATAATTTGAGGAAAATTTACACAAATGCTACTGATGAGGAATTAAAGAAACTGAGGAGAACTTTCATCGGCTTATTGGGAGGCACACATAGTCGCGAAAGAGTCGTACGAAAACAGTATACTTCCACGAAAGAAAAACTTCCATTGGACGTGAGCGGAGAGCCAATGACGAAAGAGGACTTTGATAAAATTAGAGTATCGTCCTTCAGGTAAACTAGTTCGACTGACGTACATACTAGAGAAATCTACGGACTAAAATTAATTATTTATTGAAAAAATATATATACACTTTGTTCTATGATGACAGTTTTGAAATCCAAATTTTTTTTATTTAGGAAATACCGAGTGAATTTTGATTCTGAATTTCTAACATAGCACAAATGTGAATCCAAGTTTAAACATTCCACAATACAACCTCTTCACTTCGCATCTTTGACAGTGTCTACGGACCAGTAGTACCACGATATCGCCACTTTTCATTTCAGGGGAAGCCAAAAAGTAGTCGGACATCCACACAAGGATACGTGGATTTCAAGTTACAATTTGGATTACTGTAGGAAATGGTCAGGTGAAGGAAACGCTGCTTTAAATTTTAGAGAGAAAGGGGGAAAAGCAGAAGAAAGTCCACCAGGTTTTTAATCAGCGCATTTTATGCAGAAAATCTGTTTCGTCCTATGTGTATATTATGGGATCAACAGCCGTGCGTTTTATCGCCTTAAAACTTCTTAACTTTGAATTTCTTCTGCTCAGATTTGAAATGTATGTTACTGAATCAGCTACTCGAACAAATTTGGTTATAAAAACGCAGACACGCATTCATCATTTTCATTGAATCCTAAAACTCAGATAAGTTAACTAAAGCAATTACGAAATCATTATCGATATATAGGTATTGAGTCTGTAATCTAAGATTGAATTTATTTAACATATGGTCGATTATCTTGGGTATTTACCTACAGACTTGCTTGTGAATTACTGAAACGTGTTTGTATCAAGAAATTGTATTTCATTCCAGCATAATGATGTGATTTATACCTACAGTGAGGTTCATATTTATCATTTTCTTCATTTAATGTCAGATACAGAAGTAAAAGAGCATTTCAAATCGAACGAATTACCAGAGGAAGATGAGAATAACGGAGAAACATCGATTACAGCCCGGGATTCAGGAGAAAAAGAAGAAGATGAAAATTCAGAAAAGGCAAACGAAAAGGAGCAGAGTGCTGAAATAACAACAACTACTCCAACGCGAGAAGATGACGGCAATGCGAAACGAAAACAAAGAGCCAGTGAAGATGAGAGGTGAAAGCTATAAAACAGAAAATAATATACAAATCTGATCCACAAGAATTCAGTTAAATCATAGAGCAGCGGTTTACAAACTTTTTGTTCGTTCGACGCCCAATTATCAGAGAAAATCTTACCGCACACTTAGCGGTATACACGAAAAAAAATGCTACCTTCAAATGAATTTATTGATCATATACACAGCTTATATTAGTTATGTTTACCCCAATTTTGAGTTAATATTCGGGGCGCACTTAGCAAATCGCGCCTCCCTTGGTAGCCGCTGTCATAGAATACTAATATATACAACCCCGTCATTTTATAACGATACAGATACTATACAGATCTCCTAAATGAACCAATTCAAAATTGATAAAGTTCTACATAATTAGCATTAACTAAACAATTCAAAGCATACAAATTGAACGCTGTGTTACGTGGCCGTTACACTTTTGGAATGCTTTGTGTTTGATAAACCAAACCTCCTTTCGTGTGATGGTAGTCCATTTTACATCTTATTTTATCAGTCTTATTTTTGCACTACATGAAGTCAAATAGATTGTAAAAACGACTATTGAAAGTTCGTCGATTTAAATTTATACAGAATCTTAAAAGAAGCAAACGCAATCGAAGAGCGAGAATTTCGAAAAATGTTTCGTGAAGACGGCGAACCTAAAATGAAGTTCGAGACAACTTCTGCTCAAACATACAAAGGTCTCCCATGCCGTAAACCCGAAGAACCGGTATGGGCACATAAAACCTTGGTATCTCTTGGCAGGTAATATATACATTGTGCTAGTTGTTTACGGTTAAAACCTACAAAATTATTAATGAATCGGAAATTAATGTGCTTCTTAGTTCGTTACGAGTTACTAAAGTTAATTTATCTCCGAAACAATATGTTTTTACAATTGTAATCATGGGTAATGGCAGGGTATACACTACAAAACGAGCGTATTTTTTGAATTTTATCCAGCGGTCACTGGAATACATTATGGGATCATTACGACGGGTGGGAACTGGAAAATGACATATCTGAGAAAAAAGTTCAGGACACAGTGCCGAAAAAAAGGAGCGAGCGTAACAAATATAAAATCAAAGTTTATGAACATGGAGGTACTGTATATCTGACTTAATATATTTAACTGTTATTTTATATTGCTGTATTCGAGAAACATTCAAGTTATTTGATACGCTACTGAAATTTGATGGACAGTACTGGCTCGTTCCACCAGGAAATTTTTGACATTGAAATAACCTATGTTCGTGAACAATTTTAGCTTTTTCAACCAGACAACCAACACCACATTATATACTATTATGTTATTTTGCCAACTCCTCACTACAAACATTAATGTAATAGACGGTAAATGAATTTCAGAACCGTGCACTCCAAGAAATCAATGCAAGAAAAAGGTCTATGGCAATTATGGTGGCGGGATTCAAAAAGACAGAAAAACAAATGTATCGTTTATGACAGAATACATGAGAAAATTCACACAGATGCCTCTGCCAAAAAAGCATGTTCGAATTTGACCCTTAGACAGTTTTTTTACTCTGAACAACTAACTCAATTTATTTGTTTTGCATCTTTCAATATGCATCTATTTTATCACTGTGATGTCATGCATGCATTAGTATTCAATTATTTAAATTCACAATAGTAAATTCCTTATATATTCAATTTTTTTGTTCGTGCGGCGCCAAGGGTAAAAAAACAAAAAAACAATGTGAATTGAATATTATATTAAATACAATATTCAATCATATATTAGACATGTTTAACACAATTATGTTAATTTTCGGGGAGCACTTGGCAAATTACCGCGGCGCACCTCTTAGGAACCTAGCGTATAATCACGTGCAGTGGGATTCACAAAATTAGGCTCACGGAAATAGGTTTCTGAGAACCATTAAAGAAAATTAAGTGCCAGATTCCCAAACATAAAATAGTAGTCATAAATATCCGCCCACGTTTTAAAGGCCTACTCCATCTTGCGGTATGTTATACAAAGATCGCAGCGCATCGACCTATAATATACGATCTTCGGTGCATTTAAGCACTTGCACATAAGCATCGTACCGGAAAAATGCAAATAATAACCGCCGTTCAAGGACACACTTCCAAAATTGTTTCAAATCGCAGCACTACTTTTATTAAACGCCATTATATCAGAGTCGTAATAAAGTTCCGAAGTCGCAGAAATGTATCAAGTATTCACGCCTATTGAAGCCTGCTTCTTCTTTGAAAATTCGGTCCCGTTCAAGCAGATTATTACCTTCAGCAATAATTGGAACCTTATAGTGATTAGCATTGAGAAGATTGTCATGCATATAAAAACCCAGGATGAAGTAGTAGTATGTAAGAACAACTACTTCCAAAAAAAAATCGTAATTCGGGTAACTGCTGATGTTATGGATATGTTCATTTCATTACCGACATCCAGAGGCAAAAGTCTTGCAACTATTTCACTGACCAAGTTTCTCCAAGCACAGGTTCGAATACGAATAAGTTAACTCTTCCTTCCAAATAACCAATAGCAACGCATATGAGCAATCCAAGAGGACCGTACTTGTACAAAGTTACTATGGCAGCTTTTTTTTTTATCAATCACCGATGACATGGGAATACGACTATTTTGCGGACCGCGGCCTCTCGTCCACGGTTTTCGATCTGCCAGTTGGTTTTACAAAGACCGCACTCTGAGACTTCTCTTGGATTCGTTAAAGAGTCAAAACAACCTTTGATGCCGGCACACATCTTAGAAAAAAAATTGCACCAATTCGTTAAGTTATAGTATACCGAAACCGGTCAGAGACCAAGAGCCGCATTTCGTACTTTATTCGACGAAGAGCCACATCATAAACAAGAACATGAATGCATGCAAACGCATGAACATCAAATACACCTTTATTCAGCTCTGTTTTAATTCTAGTTTATTGTAAATGTCACTAACCAACGTGATTATGAGAGAAATTTACAAGCCATTTATTGTTATGCATGCCACATAGTGCCGTTAGTGGGACTTCTGGCATTTCTTGGATTGAACAATCCTCTTTATATTTGGCTTGTATGTCGCTGTAGCAGTGTAGCTAATCGAAGCAGTTCTTTCACATGGGTGTCATTCACAGATCAATGTAGTAGTAGTAGTATTATATTCCGTCAACAATGTCAAATAGTTTACTAAAACATTTCAAAGTTAACTTCAAGGCATTGTGACGAGCTGTAACGAAGTGATCGTTAGGCGAGTCAGTCACAGCCAGTGTTCCCTCTAAGGTGTGCGCGTGTGCGCGAGCACACAGCTTTCAGAAGCTACGCACACGCATAGATTTACTGCGCACAGACGTATTTCGATGTAATGTAACAATGTTCTCGGTTGGCAGGTTGAGAAAGTTTGTTGTTGGCCCACTTATTACCCGGTTAGAACGCCTTGGTTTTTACACAAATATTAGTCATTTCCAAAAAAGTGCGCACACACCAAAATTTCTGCGCACACATACTACAAAAAATTAGAGGGAACATTGGTCACAGCCTTTGAAGAAATTATAAAATTAACATTTTGTCAACGAAATTTAGTTAAAGTAACACACACTAAAAATAAATTAGCACAGAAGAGAAAAAAAATCAATTGAATATATATATATGTTAAAACACAGTAGTTTCTTGCCCTCCTACCAACAGCGACCGATGGTGTGAGTATGTCACTTGTAGCAATCTATTTGGAGAACAGTTTTGTTTTGTACGGTACATAAATTTTGCAGCTTCATAACGATATAAGTTATTTAGTTTAAGTTTATAATAGTACGGTGTTGTATGTTCTTTGTTACTGCTATTGGAAATTATGCAGATTGCTCTGTTTTGCAGTACACTGAGCTTTTTCAGATGCTGTTTTGCCGAACAACCCCATATTATTATCCCATAAGACATATATGAATAAAAGAGACTGTAATAAATGTGTGAAAGAGTTTTTTGTGAGACCAATCCACGTAGCTTACTTAGCGATCCAACGGCACGTGCTAGCTTTTTTGATAGCAGTCCAGTGTGACTACTTCAGTTCAAGCAACAATCAATTTCAAGTCCCAAGTAAGAAGCTGTTTTTACTTTTTCCAGCTTAATACCATCAAGATATGGATTAACGCTTGCGTCATCATTCTTAGAAATTACAATGTATTTAGTCTCCTGGGGATTCACAAATAGCTTGTTGGAGTGCATCCATTAGCTAAACTCTGAGAGCTCAGAATTACAATTGGATTCTAATTGGTGAAAGCAACATCTCGGAAGTTTGAAAGAAGAGTCATCACTCATCAGCAAAAAGATGTGTCAAAAATTTACTGGAATTATGGATATCATTCACATAGAGCAGGGTGGTGCAAACCCAGGCCCACGGGCCACATGTGGCCCGCTGCCTCATTATCTGTGGCCCGCGTCGCATTTGCGAGAGGGTGAACAAAATGAGCATTTGGTTTTGTTTCGTCTTAAAAATTACCAGAAAAATCTATTGACATATTGTTACACTACTGATGTCACCGAATTGACTAGTGTTATGGCTAGATGAGGCAACTAACGAAGTTAAATAATGGGCGCTCCAGAAGTATTCGTACCAAGATGGCGCACAACCTGAACCCTAACCTAGTACACATAATATGTTCAGGCTGTGCGCCATAAGAGTGTTCCATCCTAAAACCGAATTGTTTATCTAAAATGTCAAATTTGTCCAGATATTCTGCCAATATGATGTGTAACAGTTTGTCGAAAATTTTGGATACTGCTGGAAGAACTGAAAATGGTCGATAATTGCTTACTATGCTTGGATCTCCTGATTTAAACACAGACGTCACTTTTGCCACTTTCAGGCATTGGGGAAAAACTCCATGCTGTGTGCACGCGTTAAAGAAATCTGTAAGATTCTTGCTAATGATATGAATCATAATTTTTAGAAAACGAATAGACAGGCCGTCCGGGCCAGGAGCTTTTCTTGAATACATTTGTTTACAATGGAAATAATTGCTGGGGTTCGCCTAAATATTTTATTTTCATTGTTTAGTTTGACACTTATCCACAGATCCTCACAGTCATTGAATCATTTTACAATAAGAAAAAGCTTGTTTAAAACAAGGTTTAAATTTACCTACGCATTGACATATGAAATTTTCATATGAAAGTTGCAAATTTATGGTTTTTGAGTACAATAAGGAGATACAGTTTATTGTGAAATATCAGTTAAAAACCGTGTTGCGTGATCTATACAATCACACCAACAAATCTTTCCAACAATAAATCCGTTTTAACGTCCTCAGAAAATGTACAAAATGAATGAACGTAATGAAAAAGAGACGTAATTTTAAGGGATATATGTATGATTACTCACCCGCTGACCGATATTTTGGATCATACGCCCAAGAAGGGTTGTAATAAACTTGTGACATACCAAGTTTAGCCATGAATGACTGATTAAAAAATCGAGCATCTATTTGCGAATATTGCTTTATGCTCGGGATAAAAGGTGCTCTCGATAAAAAAAGAGATAGTAAGTAAAAAAAAGTTTCATGAGAACGCTAGACTTCAAGTTGAAAAAATGAGAATCAAAGCGAATCTTTTTAAATGAGAGCATTCTATATATGCGTTATTCAAAGCCTGTCGCTTTCTAGCAAGTAGCGACGGAGTGTTACATTTTATAGGATATGCATTTTTGTGCTTTTTATGAATCACGTGTGTTGGGCAAATCGCCCAGGGAAACGAGGCCCAGCAGGGCCTAAAGGAGAGCAAGGGGAACCCGGGTTGGACGGTGTATCCGGTATGAAGGGAGACAAAGGCGATAGAGGCATTTGTGATTGTGCCGATATTTCGCAAACTCAAGACGCACTCCAGATACAAGGTAATTTAAATGAAAAAAAATGTTTTTGTGTGTATATACGGAGTAAGAGAATGTAAGAATTATCCCATAAAAATTAAAAGTAGGTATAACTAAAATATAACTCGTAATTAACTATTAAATAAAATATAATATCAACACGTTGAGATCCAGGGTGCTAAGACAAGCATTTTGCTTACCCTACGCTGGGTATATCCATCCATATGCGGCAGCTCCCGACATAATACTTTAAAAATCAATCCAAAGGGAGGAACAGCATAATCTCTCCCCACAAAATATGAAAATGAATGTACAAAAATATGAAAATCATATATTATACTTCCAATTTCGCAATATTAGATTTTGTCATCATTTTTTTTTTTAATCATTTTTTAGAGAAAATATGACTTGCACAAAATTCTCATTACTGATATCGTTGTAATATATATATATATAGATTTGAAAGTTTATATAAAAATAACCGTGATATTCAATTGCTTCAGTTGTGATGCCATGAGTTTTGTGTATTGTATATGTCAGATATAGCACTCAAACATTTACTAGTGCATTTAAATCGAATGCATTTACCAACAAACAAAAAATTGTGTAAAATCCTTCAAATACCATTACAAATTTAGAAAAAAAAGTTTGGGAGAAATAAAATTTTAGTTGAAATGGTAAAACACATGGCCACATCTTTTCTAATAGAAGGCAGTGCTGTGGAGAAAAGAGTTTTACTTGAATCACCATTTATTGAAGACTTGAAGTGACTCAAATCATTCAAATCAGTGGTGTTACACTGTGCCCCTTTTTCAGAATTTGTCTCGCG